CGACTTGACATCTTTTCCCTTCCCTGCTTCTTTCTGCATTTTTTCTTTGTTTTTGCCTTTTTTTTTTTTTTTTCCCTTTGCTGCTGTTGGAAATTTTGAGGATATCAATCCCTTCTAGTTTCCAAGTTCTTGAGGGTTTTGGGGGGTTTGTTTTTTTGGTTTCACTCCAGGTAAGCAGATAGGTAACTTGTCTGCAATTGGCTCTGGCTGATTTTACAAGTAATCTGTCTGCTTTAAAATTAAAAAAAAAAAAAAAAATCACAATTTTATGGGGTGAGGACTTGGGAGAGGAGGGGACATGGGAGGAGAACGGGGAATCTGGAGCAAAATGGGGCAATGCTTTGTAAATTCCTCCGGGATATCATTTAGTGGTGGGGAAACCAAAGACTCAAACCCTCCTGGGGTGGGAGAGGTGGGTAAGGAGAGGGAGGTGGGGAGGGATTATCGATTACAGCTTTGTTTTTTCTGCAAATGATTTTTTTTTCCTTTTTTTTTTCTTTTTTTTTTTTCTTTTTGTTCTCTCTCAGAAGCATTACTTGAAGGGATATTTGGGTAATAGGGTTTCTAATGGCTTTCCCTGCTACTAAACCGATTAATAACCTCAGCTTTTCTAGAAGTGCTCGCTTTCTCCTTGCAGCTGCTTGACCAACCCTTTCACCCTTGCCCCTATCCATGACGCTTTGAATGTCTGTGTCGGTCTCTTGCATTTGCTCTCACGCTGCACTAAAGAAGCAAAGTGGTTGGCTGATGGTAGGGCAGACACTTCTCAGCGAGGGTCTCTAGCCATGAACCCGAACCTTGACCATTGTTATGTAGGTAGGCAAAACCGCTTTTCTTTATGTCATCTGTCAGCCTCCGACGTTTCGATGTTACCTCCATGAATAATGACACGTAGCTCTTTGCATTCTCTCGGTTATATTGATTTTGAAGATGATTGCTTGTCCGCTTTGGGGTTTTCCTCTGTCCGTGAAGAATCCCACACGGAGGATATGTTTGTGTGCGTGCTTGAGGACTCCAGAAATGCTTTATTGCTTGCACGCCTTTGGAGAAACCTTTATCCCAGCCAAGGGAAGGGTTCCTCAGAGGCTCCTGGGCCTCCATGCAGCCTGCTTTGGCATCGGGGTAATTAGCTGGGTGGTAATCACACCAATCTCTATATCACACACAGCGCTGGTTGCAGGAAGACCCGTTTCCATCTGCTTTGAGATGGAAGCCATAGGAGCTCCTGCAGACCAGGCTGGTAATGAGCAGAGCTCGTGGTGTTTCACCCCAGTGAGCTTGGAGAGAAGGCTGCTTTTGTGGGCCAGAACTCACTGGGGCTTTGAAAGCCATCAAGATACGGCGACCATGAATTTTCTGAGCCTGGAGAACCGCATTTCCTTCCCCTCTGTACTATTTTTTTTCCTTAAAAAATTAACACCAGCTTTCACTGACTTAGAGGATGATTTATTCCCAAGTAAAACCTGTGAAAAGTAACTGTTTCCCTGCATGGGGAATCCTCTTTAGTTCTTGCAAAACACTTGAATTTTTAATGGCAAAAGGACTTCTGGAGTCAGCAGCACAGCACATATGGAGGGGGAAAAAATAAATAAACTTGAAATGATGAGAATTGGGTGTTTGACAAAAAAGGTACAATCTGACATTGGAAAAATTGAAAAGAGAGAACCTGCAGAATTTGGACAGACCAAAGAAATCAGATGTCAAGGACCCACTAGCTGTCTAAAGTCTGCCTGTACTTAGCCTGCTTTGTATGCTGTAGGCCTGCTTGCTGTTATGAGAAAATCATGCTGTTTTTTTATAATGTGAAATGAATCTTTTAAGTGTGTGTCTTTCCTCCCCGCCCTCCCCAAGCCTTCCCTCTCCACACCTTCCGCAATCCATCGTGCTACATCAGTCTCTGAAACCCCAAATTGCTTCATCATTAACGAACCTTCTTCATTTACTGCTCTCCTACAGTAAAACCCGTGGCAACTTAGTTGTGAAAAGCAAAGAGGAAGTTTAGTGTCTGTAATTCATTTTTTTTGGTTATTCTGAATTGAATGCAGATAAATATTTTCTTAATAAAATCCCCATTAGCTCCAGTTTATCTGGTATCAGTAGTATTTAAGCATGAGGGGTTTTTTTTGGTTATAGAGTTGTATGTACATGTGTGATTGCATGTGTGGGTATATACACACATATAGATGCTCTTAAAAATATCAGTTAGAGGTTTTTGACTTTAAATATTTTTCTTTTTGCCCTTGCTCAGCATTTATATAACTACAGTTGAAGAAAAATAATATTTTTTCGGTGTTTTTCAGTCCCTTGTTAACCAAAAATCACCTTTACAGGCGAAAAAAAGAATTGAGGCTTCAAAGTGAAGCATCTGTGCGTGCTTTGTTTTAAATCTGCGCCCAGAAGACATAAATCTCCTGCTCCGGATTAAATAGAGCTACCGTGGGTCTCCCCGAGAAGCCACGCGAGTGGCTGTGGATCAGCAGAACGGTTTATTTTCCGCCATAAACTTAAATTGGGGGATTGAGTTTGGAAGCGCGTGGGTTCGGAGACGAACCCCGGGTGTGTTCGGAGCGTTTAACGTGGTAGGTTTTGTCCCGTGGAAAATGAGGAGCACGAGGAGCAGGGACACGTCTTGTGGGTAAAGCGAGAGGCGGAGGAGGCCGGCTGCGCTGGGGACATCTGCGAGCGTGGAGAAAAGGTGGTTTTCAGGCTGGAAATCGAGTCTCACGCAGATAAAATTCTAAGCGTTTTGGTAAAAACGCTGACAAGAGACAATGTTCAGGCGTCTTTCCAGAACGGGACACCGTGTATCTGGAGGAGGTTGGGATGACTGCCAGGAGCGTTATCGTCACGTGTATTTTCCGTAGTGTGAGGAATAGCTGCTTCCATCGGCGGTTTTAAATCCGCTTTGCCTTTGTGCATTTGGGATAGCGGAGCTGTTTGCTACGCTTGTGCTCTGGCACGGGCAAAACTCACATGGGCAGCTGCAAAACTGCCGTGCAGAGACATGGGCACTGTCACTGTTGTGCCAAAATACGGCCAAAATTGGGACATGCCACTTTTGAGGAAAAAAAGAGCCATTTTAGTTGGGCTACCGTCCAGTTTGATGCCTGCGTTGGTGCCCTGTTAGCACCAAGCACACTTGGTTTTGCTGCTGGTCAGGCAGATAGTTTCAGTGTCTTGGAAAAGTTCATCTAAATATGCATAAATTCGGGGAAAACGTGGTGGGGAAGTAGCAGTTTTATCCCTTTTTCTTTGCTGTCCGTTGGAGGAAAGAGTCTGGTCCTGATTTCATCCTGGGGATTTTTGTTGGGCATGTGTTTTTATGCAAGAAGTGAAGAGGACTCAGATAGGTGGTATTTACTGAAGGACTGTAGGTTTATTGCTATTCTTATGTCATGAGGAATTAGAGCAACTGAAATGAGGATGGGATATTTATTCAGTAAAAAAAAGCAGTATTTTATTGTGGTTGTTTGATGTATGTTATGGAGATGAGCTCTCCTTGTTTAAAAAAAAAAAAAAAAAAAAAAAGCTATTCCTTCAGTTGGTAAAATCCAAGGATGATAACACCAGGTTCGGGTATTCCTCATATTTCTAATGTCATGGAAAAATAATCCAAAGAGGAAATACAACGCTTGTGTTAGTGTGGATTTTTTTTGAACAACCAACTGTTGAGAACATTTTTTATCTATCCCAGAGGGCCCAAGCGAAACGAAAAGGATTTTCGTGTTCATTCCAGCTCATTTTGAAGGGATCTCCTTTCTCATTTGGCCGGCTTTCCGGCTCGGGCAGGGAGAGCTCCTGCTAGCGGTGGAAATGTCCCGGTATCCATCATGATCCTGCTTAAGCCCTCAATTTCGAGAGAAATGAAGTATGTTTTGCAGCCCCCCTTTTTGCAGTTAAATAGTTACGTATATGTGTGTATATATGTGTGTGTGTACCTGTGTATATGTGTTCATATGTGTGTGGTCTATGCATGTGTGTGTTACGCTTCCCACTCACCAGTGCTAACTGGACGCGATGTTAGCGGCCTCTGAGCTGATGACAGACCCTTGGGAAGGGAGAGATGCCCCCTTTGGAGCATCCCACCCCTTGATTCCTGCTCTCCACACACCCTAAAGGAAAATCCCAACCGCTGCTCTCTGCACATGAGGCTGCTCCTCCTTGCCCCAATGAGCCTTTGGGCTGTGAGCAGCTCGTCCAGCTTTTCCTGAGCTGGGTTTTTCCATGCGTGAGCTGTAGAGAGGGAGCTGAGAGGCCTGGAGAGTTTTGAGGCAGGGTTTTTAGATGCTCCTCCTTGTTGCCAGCTCCAGAGCTACCTGCCTGTCTTAGCAAACGTCATTCTTCTCCCTTTGTGTCTCTGCATCCACAGATCTGTTTTTCTCCCCCCTTTTCCATTCCAAATCCATCGCTTTCAGTTGCTATTTTTTCTCCCCTCTCCTTGCATTTTTGCCTCCTGTCCCTTCTCCTCTCTGTGTCCTCCTTGCCTCCCGCCTTGGCACAGGCCGGTCTCCGGCATTCCCCTTCCGTGCCCATCTCCGGTTTGGATGACACCCTTGGATTTCATTACGCAGGAAGCGGTGGTGGGTGGGAGGGGAACCCCACAGCTCCAAGGCTGGGATTTGCAAAGGCGTTTAAGCTTTTAATTCCTCCTGAAAAACCTCGGGAAAGCGGGCGTCTGGCTGTGTTTGCAAAGCTCTGCCAACACCCTGCACTTCCCTCCCTTGCCTTGGATGGGTCCTCGTTGCCTCCCCTGTGGTGCTGTGCCCTGCCAGGGGGGTAGTAGGCAGGATGACCCCAGCTAAAAGGGTCTCCCAAAGGTTTGGGTGGCCATGGCCAACGTCTCGTAACGTGGCTCGTGCTGCTTGGGTGAGCACAGAGCAGCAGGAGAGCAAGCGGCTCGGGGTGGAAATGTGGCCGCAGCCCCGTGACGTTTGTAATGGGCTCCCTCTTTTCTGCGTGCTAGATTCCAGCTCGGAGGAGGACGAAGAGGAGGACGAAGAGGAAGAGGAGGAGGCAGAGGGTTATGGCACGGACGGCACCGACAGGCCTTCGTCGCCCGCCCTCGATGAGAGCGGCCTGGGCCTGCTAGCGAGGTTTGCCGCCAGCGCCATGCCCAGCCCCATCGTCCCCCCGCCGCTCTCCATCGTCCAGCTGGAGGCCAAGCAGAAGGCGAAGAAGAAGGAGGAGCGGCAGAGCCTGATGGGTGAGTTGCATGGTCGGTGTTGGCACCACCAGCAAGGTGGAAGGTCCAGCGGGATCTTCCTTCCTACAAGAAAACAGATCGCTGCCCAGACACCGTCCTTCCCGTTCTTTCCTATTTAGCCGCTTGGTCCTGATGGTAAGGGAGGGAATTGCAAGCAAGAAAGCGGGAGCTCATCCTGTCACAGCCAGGGCATGTTTAGCAGCTGCAGCCATGGCTTCCCTAGGGACAGTTGCCCCTTGAGCTTCCTCAAAGTTTCCTCTTTTCTCCTAGCTGGCAAACCATTCCCATGTCCTGCATGCAGTGCAGAGGCACATGATGGGATGTGGTGTCCCCTTGGACAGAGAGCTGCAGGCAGGGAAGCACTGCAGGCCCTTGGGGAAGGAGGCACGTACTGAGTGCAGCTGAGCTCAGACACCCAAGAGAAGCAGAAGCACCCAAACAGGAGGAAAACCCCCTTCCATCTGCTCTTGGACACCCAAGAGAAGCAGAGACACCCTGAGCAGGAGGAAACCCCCCCCTTCCACCCACCTGCCCCGTGGCATTCCCACGGAGTCCAGCAAGGGACCCTCACACCAGCAGTTCCTCCTTGGCTCATGTGCTTGCCGTGCCAGACTGCATCTCCACCACTTTCGTTCTCAGCTTTGCAGCGTAACAACCAACAGGAATTTCACTTTTTTTCCCTCCCCATGTGTCGCTGCACAAGTGCCCTGGGTGATATGATACCAAGTCAGACAGATCCATATGGCCTCCATTTATAAATTCCCTATTAATATTTATTAAGCGATAATAGAATTTATAGCATGCTTCAGAATAGAAAATGAGGTCCTCCCAGGGAGCCAGGCTTGTTTTAGCACTGTTTCCTTGCTATATTAGGCATTGCCAACTTGTTCCAACAGCCTTTGTTAAGAATTTATCATTGCTTCATCTCGTAACCTGCCCTCTTTGAAACTGGAAGCATCTAGAAATTACCTCATGTGGCAGAGCGAGAAAGGAGAAATCGTGTTGTAATTTTCAATGGGGTTTTCATCTTGAATGTTGCCAGCTTTGATTTTTACAGGCCTGCTCTTTTCCTGTTCCTGCTGGGGCTATCTCAGGGGAAGAGATTTGGGTGGAAAACGAGTGCAGGTTTCTGCAGATGGGGTTTTGGAAAGAAAGACTGAGAGAAGATGCTTTTCTCTCTATGTCTGTGCCTTGCACGTTTATATTCACCCATGTGACAGCTCTCTGTTCATTTCTCAAGGGTCTCCTGCAAGCAGTTATCACAGCAGTGTTGGGCTTGGGAAAGGTCCCTGACAGCCTGTAGCTATTGCTCATTTTGGCAAATAGGCCAGACTTGTGGGCACCTGCAGCTGGGGACTCCTCCTGTCGCTTCCCCTGCATGAAGTCCCATGCTCCCTGGAGTGTGGAGTCCACACTCCCTGGAGTGTGAAGTCCCACGCACGTGTTGGAGAGTGGGCAGAGGGAGAACCTCTCCAAAACCTCTCCAGGTTCTGGTGATGTTTCCCACCTCTTCAGAGGTGCTCTGCCACACTGCAAAGCCTTGGGAAGCAAACAGACTGAGAAAATCTGGGCTCGGTTCCTTGCTTTGACCCACACTTACTGCTTGACCTTGGACAAGTTCCTTTCCAACTATGAAAACACAATCCCCATGCACCTTGAGCCAAACCTTTGTCTCCTGGCCTTGCTGTTGCCCAGTAGCTAGGGCTGGGAGCGCTAGGAATAGCCTCCGTGCCTCAGTTTCCCTGCTTTCCCTGGAAACCGTGGGTTCTGGGGAGGGGGAAGCACCTTGGAGGTGGTGAGCACCTTGGCATGGCCACCGGTTTTCAGGCAGCTGATGCTGAGTGGAGGTGAATGCGAGGGGATTTCCATCTGCCACAAATGATCATTTCTTTCGTGACTTTAAAGCAATTACTTGAGCCAATAAAAAGCTCTTTGCTGTCCGCTGACCAATGGAAAAAAAAATCTACTTGAATCTGGGTTTACTTAATTCATTAAGATCATTTTCCCGAGACACAGGTGAGGCAGGAGAGGCAGGAGAGGACTGCACACAAGAGGGGAGGAAGGCTCTGCCTGTGCGGTGTGTGTTTTGCTTCAACTGAGGAACCCATCTTTGTGGAGGGGGGGATATTAGACCAGCTTTATCTTGTGAGCTTCCCTGCAGTGTTTTGGGGTGGCAGAAGGGAGAAAGTGGAGGCAGGGAGCACTGTGAACCACATTGCCTGAGTGGATGGGCTTTGGATTGGGGCAGGAGGGACGTATTTTTGGGAAAAGCCTTATCTTTTGCGGTTGGAGGGTGGGAATGCAGAGCCGAGGGATGTGGGGATGGGAAGGGGACACCAGGAGTGTCATGGAGCAGACACGACCTCTCCCACAAAACCCCAAAAGCTTCAGCTGGATGTAGCCCAACAGAGGCCTTGACTGACGATTAAATTCTTTGTGTTTAGGGACGGAGTTCGAGTACACGGACTCAGAGAGCGAGATCAAGATCAGGAAGAAATCGCCCTCAGGGCTGCTGCGGGGGAAGAAGGGGCCTCTGGACTCGAGCAGCATCCCCCCGAGCCAGACCCCGAGCAGCCTCGACTCCGCATCCGGGAGCACCGACAAGGCCAAGCTTGGGGCTGAGAAAGGCCGCAAGCTGAAGAAATTCAAGTCCCCTAAGGACTTGAGCTTTGAGTTTGGACTGGAGGCCAGTGACGACGACCTGTGGAACCGGCGCCGGAGCGAGCGGATTTTCCTCCACGATGCCACCATGTCCTCGGCCATGCTGACCCCTGCGGCACCTACCAGCTCCACTCCGGTCTCCAAGCCTGGGCGCTGTGGGAAGGGGGCACCCATGAGCCCCAAAAAGGAGGGCAGCAAGGGCAAGGAGAGGAAGGATATAAGCAAGGTGAGGTCCATATTAGTGGGGTGATATGGAACAACATGGCTCTTGGAAGTTCAGGGTGAAGGGATGGCTATGAACTCCACTAGGGAAGAGGAGAGCTGAGCTGGTCTCAACCATTACCTCGATGCTATTTGGATGTCGCTTGTTCTCACCACCACCAGCAGCCCCATGTACCCCCCTAGAGGAGCTTTCAGGCTTGGATCTGACTCGTGGGGATTAGAAACCTCTTGTATTTGAGTAGGGCAGGTTGTTGTGGCACCCTCTGTGTTCCAAATTCACCCTACCTGGATTGCCCAAAGTGGAAATCCTGCCTTTAAACCTCTGGAAAACTCTTTCTCACTCTCCAGGTTCAGCCTTGTAGCTTTGCTGAGCTGTGACTCTGTATGCCAGCCTTAAAAACTGTCTATCTTTTTATGTGGTCTTGCAAGGGAACCCTGCTGGGCTGGTGGTGGCCAGAGTCTCTCCCTCATTGCTGGTTCTTCAGCTTCACTGAAAGGTTGGCTCCCTGTAGTTCCTGATGGAGTTATGGGGAGCATTGGTGGTGGAGAGAGTTAGACAAGCAGGGATGTGAGGTCAGCTGGGATCTTCTTGGAGCTTCTTGAGGGAAAGCTTGATGGACAGGAGTTGCTCTCTTGGGGTAATGAAGAGCTCTTGATGGACTGTGTGATGCCTGAGTGCAGCGCTGGGAGAGACAAGGTGTGATACAGCACCTGGCTTAATGTCATATCCTGCCTGTATGCACTCTGCTTTGCTGCATGTTTCACCTCTCCTGGGACCGTGATCTTTCTTAATCCTGTTTCTTTACTCATGGGAGATCTTTTTTTTCCCTCCTAGCAGCGGAAGAAGGGTAAAGAAGCACCCTGCTGCTCCTCCTCCTCCTCCATGTCACCCCCTGGCATCCCTAGCTCCCCATCTGACGTCCGAGTCAGCCTGGCAAGTGCCCTTGGCTCTACCAAGAAGAGCAAAGCCAAGGTGAAAACCAAGGAGGTGAAGAAAGAGGTGAGGGGCTTGTTCTAGGTGAAGACCAGCTGGACTGGGCCAGTAGAGTCCTGTTCTTTTCATGGCCTATTACAACGTGAGGCAGGGGGGAAAATACATGCATAAGTAAAGCTAGCTATGTGCTTTAGAGGCAAAACACTGGTTTGAGAAGCCTATAGTCAAGGAAGGCTAACAGCAGGTACATACGTGTCCCATATGCTGTTAGCCTGACTTCGTTCTCCAAATAAATGAGACAGCATTTTCTCTAAGACCATTCCAGAGGCAGAGGAAGCTTTCAAGGACAGCAGAGAGGGAGGAGATGATGATGACAGAGATGTTCTTTTCACCACTGAGTACTCTGATCCATACCAGGGCACTGCTGGTTTCTCCTCTGTTACTGTGGCCTGTCTTCTCTCAGAAAACACATGACTGCAAACGTTTTTGTGTGATTTCTGAGTACAGTGGTTATTGTCCATGCATTGCTGTTATGCAGGACTTCTAGAGGAAATACAGGCAGTGTTTGCTACCGGTTTTGTAAAGATAAAGAGGAGGTGAATGCAGAGCAGTGCTACGGCTCCCCTTGGCATCTCTCGTAAGGTCCAGGAGGCAGATGCAGCTGGGTTATGTGAAAGGGCTGTTGCTCAGCTGTCAGTAATGCTTGGGAAGAAGCCCAAAAAACTGCAGGTCTTTTTGGATCCCAAAGGCAATTTGGGCTACGCCCGCTTAACTCTGCAGTGATTACCATGGCTGGGGACGAAAATGAGTTTGCCTCAACGTCCTCAAGTTATTTGCTGCTGGAGGCAGGTGAGCTGGGGTCAAGCTGTTGCTTCTTGGCATCCCGCTGACAAACTGCTTGCTCTCCTGCAGAACCGAGGGAAAGGAGGAGCGGTGAGCAAGCTCATGGAGAGCATGGCGGCTGAGGAGGACTTCGAACCCAACCAAGACAGCAGCTTCTCGGAGGATGAGAACATCCCACTGAGCATGCTGGTGGAGCGGCCACCCACACCAGGTGAGGAAAGGAGGGAGAAGAGGGCTAACAGTGCACGTGGCGGGGCCAGGAGAGGTTCCCTAGGTTGCTCAGAGAAACCTGGGGTTTTCTGTCTGTTTTTCTGGTGGTGTTTGACAAGAGCACAAGTCTGTGAGGTGAAGGTCCCACCATTCCAATCGTTTGGCTTGCCCAGTATAAACCTCATTAGAGTAACCAGCTGTGTTTTGATATCTAAAGTCCAGTCTCTGAGCTGCCCTGTTTCCATTAACCAGTGTATTATTATCACTGAAAAGGGGGCTCTTTGTCCTTCCAGGAGCTCTCCAAAGAGACACAGCCCTTTTTGCAAAGGACTTGCTGGCCCTTTTGTAGGGGCAGGAGTTGCTGGGACCATCAGTTATCCCTCTCTCCTTACTATTGCTTTCTCACGTACGAAGCTCTCTAATCTCCATCTTGCTCCAACACCTCACAGCTCCCCGCTCCTGCATAATTGACAAGGATGAGCTGAAGGATGGCCTGCGTGTCCTCATCCCCATGGATGACAAGCTGCTCTATGCTGGTCACGTCAAGACAGTGCATTCACCTGACATGTAAGTTAAAGAGCTCCCGTATCTGCCTGGGCTCTTCTGGTGAGCAGGGTGTAGCTGATTCCAGGGGAGGTTTTGGGGCTGTGGAAAGAGACAGAGTCTGGCACAAAGGGAAACAGAGTTTGCTTTAGTTTGCCAGTGCTGAGGAAAATCCAATTATCCCTCATTACTTGTTCTCAGCTAACCTGGCGACGGGGCTCAGAGGGAGATGTTAGCTGAGCAGGGTGACAAGCTCTGCGTGCTCTGTCTGACCAAGCTTTGTGTTTCAGATACCGTGTAGTGGTGGAGGGCGAGAGGGGAAACCGTCCCCACATCTACTGTCTGGAGCAGCTCTTGCAGGAAGCGGTATGTGAGGCCAAGAAGTGCCTGGGCCCTGTTTTAAGGTGGAGGGAGGAGGCTAAAGGGAAGTCCCCTTGCTTGGGGCAGTGGGGGGTTCCCAGCGTGTGACTGGTCTGGGCAGAGCTCCCCTAGGTGCTAGTGGCTGCCCCATGCACTCGCTTCCCTGCTGGAGCTGCAGGCTTGTGTGCCAGTGGGAATAATCCTTCATGCTGCCCTTTGGGAAGGCAAGAGGCTGTTTCCCAGCTGGAAGACTGTCCTTAGCCTTCTCCAGAAGTGCATTGCTGCATGCCGAGCGTGGTGGGATGGGCTGTGCTGGTGCCGAGAACACCAGTAATTGCCTCCCTCTTGCCCCGAGCAGATCATTGATGTGAAGCCTCCTTCTGTGCGATTCCTGCCCGAGGGCACGAGGATTGCAGCCTACTGGAGCCAGCAGTACCGCTGCCTCTACCCGGGGACGGTTGTCCGAGGTAAACTCTCCATCCCCAGCTGCCCTGCACTGTGAAGCAGGGACGTCTCAAACCTGTGTGCCCTGAGGAGCCCCAGGTTTATGTGGGGCAGCTGTGAGGTCTGCTGTGAGTGTCACAGGGATCCCATCCCATCCCATTTTTCTCCGGCTGTGCTCAACAGTGTGAGGATGCTGGTGTAGTAACATCCTGTGGTCCAAGAGCTGTGCTCTTGCAAGAAGAGGATTAGCAAATTCAACACTCCAAAAGGTTGGGGTTGACTCCAGTCTAGGGACCGTGATTTCTGAGGTGGGGGAGGCTTTAAAATCATCTGCACGCTCACAGCTGCCTCTGGCACTCCAGCTCCTGATGCTTCCTGGTCTGACCGTGTTAAGAAGCCAGTGAAGAGCCCTGGACTCTGCTGCTGCGACTGGCCTCGCCTTTGGGCACTCAGTCACACTGTGCATGTTTATGAGGGAATTGTTATTTGCAGTGTGTAGACAAGAGGTGTTGATGCGGCGAGATAGGGAGGGAACACGGCTTATTGCTCTTGCAGAGAAAATGAAAAAGAGGAGATTGTGATTCTGTGAGAGTAGTTACAAAGCGCAGATCAAAAAAAAAATAAAGTGAATCTCTGCAAGTATAGATGGAAATAGAGAGAGGAGATGGAAAGTCAAACTGAAGCAGTTGTTAAACCCTGACAGGAAAAAATTGCACTTAGTGGATGATGTTAGCATTACCAGGAATTTTTCATTGTGTAGGGAGCCTTCTGCTCTCTGCCTGCACAGATGTGCAGGAATAGTGGGTACAGGATACTTCAGAGCTTGTGCAGGACTGGATCCCATCTTTGGCTTGAATCCTGGGAGCGCCAGCAGCAGAAGCTGGTCTGTTCTGCCATTCCACTGTCCCTGTCAGTGCCTGGCTGTGATGGAGCAGATTTCGCACTGCAGCTGAGCAGCATAATCTGATTTGGATCTGCTACCAATAAATGGATCTGCCATTCTGTCTTCCTCCCATTTCAGCCCTTCCCTGATGAGTGGTTTGTGATCTCATATTTATTCTTAGCGCTTTTCTTTTGTTCTCCAAACTCATAGGAACCCTGGATCTGGAGGAAGATGGTGATCTCATCACGGTAGAGTTTGATGATGGGGACACAGGACGCATCCCGCTGTCTCACATTCGGCTTCTGCCACCTGACTACAAGATCCAGTGTGAGTCCCATTGCTCAGCTTTTTGCATGACACGAGCTGCTGCCAAACTTAGGGAATCTGGGGCCACCAGGCTGTGAGATTTTGGGGCTAATACACAAAGTTTGCACAATCAGTTGTAGGTGTGGAAAGTTGGGATGAGACATAACTTATCAAGAAAAAGGCCCGATCCCTATTATAGTGCTGACAGGGGTATGTTCCCTATGTTTTCTCTGTGTTTTATGTGTTGTTTGATTGCCTTTGACCAACTCCTTGACCTGTTGCAGGTGCTGAGCCCTCCCCAGCCCTCTTGGTGCCCAGCACCAAGCGCCGTAGCCGCAAATCCAGCAAGGATACTGGAGAAGGAAAAGAGGGAGCAGCGCTAGGGTCGGAGGAGACCGTGTCGAAAGGCAAAGGGCGTGGGAGAAAGCCAAGTGTCAAGGCCAAAGCTGGTAAGTAGTTACTGCTGCTGTAGTCACTGAAACAGTGAGAGCCCTTGTGCTGTTCCCCTGTGCTCTTCCTGGCTTAGGACAGCTGCTTAGGTCAAGTTCAGAAGGGAAATGGATGCTCTGCTTGGTCTCAGCAGAGCACCCCAGCGTGAGACCTGTCTGCAGCAGCTACAGTTTGCAGGAGGCTGGCTTGGAGAGCTTCCTCCTGTCTTTCAGAGCATCTCAGAGACCATCGGCAGGGCCAAGGATGCAAGATATGTGCAGTTAGGTTCCTGTGTGGTCAAAGCAGCACCCTTGGACGTTGCTGGTCAGCCACTCATGGGTGTTGGCATCACACCAGGCTCGACCAGGCTCCTTATTAAGCTCATTCAGTGAGTAGTCAGGACTTATCTCTTCAGGGAGATCTAAAGAAGTCATGAACAAGCCACCCTTGACCAGAGAGCAGTCAGTGTCCGTGTTGGGCTGTGTCTGAGGTAACAGTACTCATTTGGGTAGACACCATCATGCCTATGTGTTTGTTCCCCTCTGCAGAAGAGGCCACCTTGCCGGAAGAGAAAGATCAGGTTGATTCTCCGCCTGGTGCCTCTTCAGCCCCGGAGAAGCCACCCTGCCTGGGCAAACCAAGTGTGAAAGGGTCCCGAAAGTCCCAGTCGCTGCCAGCTGGAGGCTCTCCTGCCCCCACAGAGGAGAAGCGGTTGAAGGGCAGCAAAATGAAGATCTCCACCAAGCTGCACAGCCCTCCACAGCCCGCCTACCAGCCTGCTGTGTTCGGCAGCGTCCTGAGCGCAGAGCCCTACAGCGACCTCCCAGGGACACTGGCCGCCTTTGGCTCTGGTGACACCTCAGCAGCAAAAGCCAAGTCCAAGAAGGGACGGGCCACAGAAGAGACACAGGAGTTTGGCACCATGGCCAAGGCTCAGAGGAAGCATGACAGCGAAATCCTCATCAAACTGGACCACGAGGGCGTGATGTCTCCGAAAACCAAGAAGATGAAGGAGGCCATGAGGATGCTGGAGGACTCAAACCTGGCGAGTCGCCGGGACAGTAAGAGCCTCTTGGGGCTGGGCTATTCCCCTGCCATGGGTGCCGAGGGCAAGCAGAAGTCTTCCCGAGGCAAGGGAGCTGAGGGAGACCCTTGTCCTGCCAACTTTTCAGGGAAGTTTGAGGGCTCAGGTGAAAGCCTGACCGCCTCCAAGGACCAGGAGGACAAGACAGCAGCTCCAGCAGCTGTGGAGGAGTCGGAGAGCAATAGCAGTGACAGCAGCTCGGAGTCAGAGGGCGAAGAGGAGGCCGAGAAGAACCAGGGGGAGGCCCAGGACAGCAGCTCAGCCAGCTCGAGAGCATCCACCCCTCTCTCTTCTTCCAACTCCTCCTCCTCTTCCTCTTCCAGCAGCAGCTCTTCCTCGTCCTCCTCCTCCTCCTCTTCATCTGCCTCATCGACTTCCTCTTCATCCAGCTCCAGCTCCTCTTCCTCCTCCACCACGGACGAAGACTCCTCGTGCAGCTCCGATGATGAGGTAGCAGAGGCCCAGCCGAGCTCCTCCGTGCAGCCGAGCCTCCCTGCCAAGCAGCCCAAGCAGGCGGGCAAAGCCCGGGCCTCCTCCCACGCGCAGAGCCAGAAGCAGCCGCCGCAGCCGGCGCCGCCGCAGCCGGCGCCGCAGCCGAGCGGCAACAAGAGCAGGCCCAAGAAGCGGGAGGGCATCCACCTGCCCACCACCAAGGAGCTGGCCAAGCGCCAGCGCCTGCCCTCTGTGGAGAACCGGCCCAAGATTGCTGCCTTCCTCCCTGCACGGCAGCTCTGGAAGTGGTTTGGGAAGCCCACGCAGGTAATGGTCACCTCTGCCACCGGTTAGTGGGGCTTCAGCGCTGGGGGTCTCTAGTGTTGCCTCTTACCCTGGGTTTCTGAGGCTGTCCAAAGGGGTCTTTCCCTTCTGGAGTGGCAAAGCTCTGTTGGCTTGGTGTGTTCCCAGCCTGGCTGTGGGGATATCTTCAGTTTGAAGGGGGGTTGTTGATGGTCTGCCCTTCTACCTACTTATTCCATGGAAATGTCCTGCTGGTGTCCTGGTTGAAGGCCAACACCTGCTCCCATCTCCCAGTTCTCTGGGAAATGGTGTGTGGCACCAAGGCCATGCCGACATGTCCCAGTGGCTGCAGGCAGTGCCAGGCCGCGTCTGGCTTTGGTGACAGCAAAGAGCAGGATGAAAACAGGGTGAGCAGCGATGGCTGGGGAGACGTGAGCAATCCCTGGCATCTCACCTGCATGTTCCTCCCTTGGCAGAGACGAGGAATGAAAGGGAAGGCCAGGAAGCTCTTCTACAAGGCCATCGTCCGGGGCAAGGAGATTATCCGCATTGGCGACTGCGCCGTCTTCCTCTCAGCGGGCCGCCCCAACCTGCCCTACATTGGCCGCATCCAGAGCATGTGGGAGTCCTGGGGGAACAACATGGTGGTCCGGGTCAAGTGGTTTTATCACCCAGAAGAAACCAACCCTGGCAAGAAACTCAATGAAGGCAAGGTAGGCCAGTCTGCTTTGCGGAGAGCCCTGCAAAGTTCCTCGTCCGCATTTTTTTGTTCAAAAGATGAGGCAAAATACCCGTGGCCCCACTCATAACTGATGCCTAAGACAGGGTGGTCCCCCTGTTCATGATGGGAATGTCTGAAAGTACATGTGGTGGGCAGAAGGTTGCTGGAAAAACAACTCATTCACCTTCTTTTGCATTTTTCTCCCCCTTTTTCTCTTGGACACAGCGCTGGGATCAGAAATCCGGCAGGAGTCTGTCCACAGCGTTGCAGGCATCCAACCAGAGGAAGGACTTCATGGAGGTTGGTGGGGCTGGGAAGGGCTGCAGGGGACTGCGTAAAGGGGGGTTGCAGTGGATGCTTTCCCTGCACGTTGAAGATGATGCTTTAAACACCAAGTGATCTACTAACTGTTCCCTCTCTCTCTCTCTCTCTCCCTCCCTGTTCCCACTCCTGTCACGCAGCGAGCCCTCTACCAGTCCTCTCATGTGGATGAAAACGATGTCCAGACCATCTCACACAAGTGTCTTGTTGTTGGTCTGGATCAGTACGAGCAGATGCTAAAGACCAAGAAATACCAAGACAGTGAGGACCTCTACTACCTTGCAGGAACCTACGAGCCCACTACGGGCATGATCTTCAACACCGACGGGGTCCCTGTCATCTGCTGACTGCCCAGGGGACACGTGCCACCCCCTGGGAAAGGACGGGACAAACCTGAGGACGTGCCTGTTCAGACGACATGATTGTTTCTTTCAATGCTCATGACTTCTGAGTCACACTACAGACAGGAGAGCGCGAGAGACAGCGAGGAGGAGGAGGAGGGAGAGGGCTGGAGAAAGGCTTTGGGGAAGCAGTTACAGGACTTGGGGAAGATGCCCTTGGGTGGTGGTGATGCCTGAAGCCTAAGGCTCTTCTGGAAGTGACTTTAAGGTGACACTCGGCCAACTTCTCCCTTCCTCCTTTTTGGTCCTGGAAAGCACATGGGTCTCACGATCATTTCACCAGCGGACCCCTCGCCAGCAGGAGGGGGTCCCTTTTGTGTCATTTGCCCCCATCGTTTCCCCAGAAGCTGCCTGTGTGTGGAAGGCCACGCGCCGGCCTTCTGCATCCGCCCTTCTCCGTCCATATATTCCCTTTCCTGCTCAGTTTCGCATGATCCTTTAGGAAGGACAGGGTGGAAGAGAAAGCAGTGAGTCTCTCTCAGCGCCTCGTCGTGATCCTCTCAGCGCCTTTTCACAGGGCCCCTTCCCTGGCAGCCCCCCAGCACGTATGGAGCACAAAGGAGCAGAGCACGGAGACAGCAGGAGAGCTTCTCCGGGCTGGGGGGAAAGGGAGGCAGCATTCCCGCTGCCTGGAGCAGAAGGGCTGAATCCTCCTTCTCCTTCCCTTGGTGTCCCTGGGGGAGCCTCCCCCTCACAAGCACACGCTGAGGGGGGGGACACTTGGTGGACAAGGAACTCTTTGGAGCATGCAGCACCTGGGAAGAGCTGCTTCCTGAGGCTTGAAGCAGAGGAGACCACAGGCCACCGGGATAGAAGAGATTCCACCTTCCCCTGTGCTTTGCCCGCGTGGATCCACGGAGCTGAAGCAGGGGCAGCCCTTGCCCGTCACCCGTCCAGAGGATGAAGCCCACGGAGCCTCGGCCATGCCCGGAGCCGCATTCCCACAGACGGAGCCCTACCGTGTCCCGGGATGGGCACTGGGAGCTGCTCAGCCTGCTCCATGTCCCGACTCCAGGCATCCGAGCCCATCTCCTCCCTCTGGATCCCGCCGGACCCGCTGCTTCCCCATGGCTGGAGCAGCAGCCCCGGAGCGGCGCAGCCAGCACCGAGGGGACCCCACCACCACCCTTGCACTTACCCACCACCCAGGAGCTTGGCGAGGAGCTCCGGGCACCACGGAGCCGCTCCCGGGCCCTGGAGCTGGACACCCCCCGTGCCAGGACCGCCGGGAAGCCCGGGACACCCCTACAAAGGACCCCCCCTCTCTTTAGAAGAACCACATGGTGCTGAACTCGCCCCATCTCTACCCCCGCCACGGGCGCCTCCCCACGTGGCGGCTCTAAACTGTACAGTTTTAATGTACCAAAAGACTCTTTAGCCCTCCTGTATTATAAGTCTTTAAATGGATTCACCTTTTTAATTATAAATATAAATATAAATATATATATATAAATATAAACTTTTTAAAACTGTGAAAAAAATTATGAAATTATAAAAAAGAAAAAAAAAGGAAAAAAGACAGCGACAGCAATGAACACAGTCTGACGTTTAGAATATTATTTTTTATTTCCTGTTGGATTGTGATTGTAAATGATCTGGGAACAGGCACACCCCCCCACGCTCAAAGTGTACTGTACTTCTAGAAGCAAATTGTGTGAGGATATTTTAAAAGAACGAGAGAGAGAGAGCGCGCGAGAGAGAGATTTTATGCTAATGTTAAATAGAAAGCACTTAAAACCCACTGCCTTCTATGGAACACAAGGATATTTCAGACAATCGAGAGGAAAGGAGAGCCAGGTTTTTTTGTCGCTTTTTTTTTTTTTTTTCTGTTTTGTTTTATGTTTTGTTTAAAACAGTTTTTTTGGCATTCTGTTTGTTGGAGAACTTCGTGTGATCTTTTTTTCATAAAAAAAAAAGAAATAATTGAAAAAAAAAAAGAACCCCGGCGCAGGCTCATTCTTTGGCTCCCCCTTCCTGGCTCTGGGTGTTCGTCCTGCTTTGCTTCCCCCAGCCCCTCCTGGTCTCTCCCTGGGGACAGGGATGGCACCGGCTGCAGCCAGGGTCAGGGGGATCTCCGTGGGAGAAGGAAGGTGCCGGGAGCAGATGGGATCTTGGGATCATCACAACTGGGATCCCTGTGGCTGCTCCCAGGGCTTGGGGACGTGCCTGCCGCTGGGGACAGGCTTGGGGAGGAAGGAACGTTTTGTGGGTGTCCCCTGCTCCTCGGCACGGCCGAAGCTCCAGGCAGGCTCCAGGGAGCTGGATCCTCTCCCGCTTGGTCCCAGCGCTGCAGCGGGACACCCGTGATCCCTTCTGTGTGACATGCCCCTGTGTGACAGCTCCCTGCTACCCGTTACCACGGGAGGACCCGTTACCACCACCTGACACGGTGGTGGCCCCGGCCCTGTCCCCCCAGGCTCATCCCTCCCCTGTACCTCAGCCCCGCACAAGGTGCCTCCATCAGCAACCAGGACACCCCAGGACCCTGCCTGAGAAGGGGCAGTAGATGTGATGAGTGCAGCAGAGCTCAGCTAGCAACCACAGTCACCATTAGGGCAAGGGGGAGGGGGGGTTTCCCATCACAGGGACCTTTTTTTGGGGGGGTGGGGGGGTCTCCCCTTGGGGCTACATGTGGGGTGGGAGCCAAGGGAGGCAGAGCCTCCTTGCCCTTGGCCTGGTGCTCAAACATGTCCCAGCCCCAGCTGTGCTCTGAGAGGAGCCAGGTCTGCAACCTGCTGCCTTGGAAAGGGGAAAAAAGGGGAACCAAAAAAAAGGAAAGTAACATTTATTCACCAACACGCCCCCTCTTCCTGCTCCTGTGGGGTTTTTTTTGGTTGTTGTTGGGTTTTTTTTTTTTTTTTTCCCCCTCCTCTTTTTTCATGGCTCCACCTGGTCACAAGGACCTGCAGAGAGGAGACAGGTTTAAGGGGGGGGGGCAGCACCTTCTGAAGAGGATGAGGAAGGGAACTGACTTCATCCTCCATCCTAGCTCATGCCTGGCCGTAGAATGCATTTGCACTCAGAGCAGCTCAGGGTGCCCGCAGAAATGGAGGCCACAGCCCTCGAGGAGGGCACCAAGGAAAGAGGTCCCCAGTGGGTGCGGGAACAGCCCGTGGTCCTGGCTGGAGAAACACTCCAGTTGGTGGCTCCAGCTTGGAGGGGCGTGGGAGGCCACGGCCCGAGCAGCCCTTTGGGAAGGGAGGGTCTGTCCGGGGCTTGCTCGCACCACCACCTGCAGCTCGCACCCGGAGGAGAAAAAAAACAGACAAAAACTAAAAAGAAAATACTTTTTTCCAGCCAACGGGGGGGACCTCGGGCTTTTGCACATATCTTTGGGCAGCTGAGTATTGGGGAAGGGTTAAGATTTCAATGAAACCTGCAGCACCATCAAACAACTCCAAGCTCCACCTGCCCAGCCCGTCCAAAGCGTGGAGGAGCATTTCCTGCACTGCTTGCTCCTCCTCTTCCTCATCAGGCCCCCCATTCTCTCCTACCCTCTCAGCTCCGGCTGAGCCCCGGTGGTCCGGACACCCCCATGGGGTAGGGATGGGCCGGGATGATGGTGGTTCCCGCTCCGGTGCCCGGCTCAGTACCCTGCCGTGAAGGAGCCGTTGAGGGTCTCCGTGTGGAAGCAGCTGCTGTGGGATGCGCTGGTGAGGCTGTAGGCGAAGTAGGCCACGGCGGAGCCCAGCGTCAGCCCCGTCATGTAGGACACGGTCATGGTGTTACCTGCACAAGGGACATCAGGACCCTGCCGCTTGCTCCAGCCAATCCCACCAGGACCATGCGCTCCTACCTGCCAGCTCCCGCTGCTCCGGGCTCACTTTTCCAGCGGCCAGGATCATGGGAACGCTGCCGAAGTAGCCGTTGGTGATGCCCATGAGGAGGGAGAAGATGCAGGGCCACGCGGGGTGGCCGAAGGTGGGTTGGCTGTTGGGGTACACGCACATGATGAAGAGGGGGATGAAGACCACGCGGAGGCAGGAGTAGATGAGGAGGTGGGTCCCTCGCCAGTCGTAAGGTAGGGCAGCCAGGATCTGAATCAGAGAGGGGAGAAACCCCTGGGTGAAAAGCAAAGCAGAGGCTGGCTGGAGGAGGGGGGATGGAAAGGGACCCAAACTGATGGTCACAAAGACGAAACGAGCTGAAGGAGACAAGAGCATCCCCAAGAACAGCCTGAGACTGGTTAGATCATCCAAGAGTTGAAGATGACCCTTGGTAAAGGCAAACCAAGAAGAGGGACAGAGAAGAGCAAAAAAGGGATGCAAGGAATCATCTCCTCTCACCTAGACAAGGTGCGAGGTCGTCTCAGCATCACCCTGTCAAGGAGGACCTCCTACCTTGCCAACGAAATCCGAAAGGTTGAAGATGGCCATGATGAGGATGGGGAGCCATTCCCCCAGCGTGCAGTTGTGGATCTCTGACTCCAGCCCGGGGAAGAGGCACAGTGTGATGAAGTAGGTCATAGCAATGGAGAGCATGTAGGCCCAGATAACCCTGGAGACCACGTAGCGGTGGAGCAGCATGGCTGGGGGGAGAGGGTAGAGCAGGTCAGCTCAGCAAGGCTAAAGCTGGGCTCTTGACCTTCCTTGAGCCTCTTAGCCCAGAAATCAAAGCCAAGATGACTATCCCGTGAGATGGCAGGTGCCACACCTTGACATGTTGGGGAATAGCTCCTCAGGAAGAATTTTTTCCCAAATTCTTGGGCACAGAGAGAAATGGACACCTGTTCCCCACAATCCTGGGTAGGAGACAGCTCGTTCTGCCCCCTAAAACAGCCCATGTCCCTCACCTGCATGGCACAAGGGGTTACCCTGCAAGCTCAGGCCCTACCTCTGAAACTGGGCCAGCTCCTCTTGATTTTGGGCCGAGGGACATCAAAGCGCATGTAGGTCCCACCGCCGGCCAGTTCTGCTTCGTGGGCCAGGCTGCCCGTGGGGGACACCGGCTGCCCTCGCGTCCTGTTCTCCTGCAGCGAGGAAGAGGGACACGGAGCTGTGCCACCAGGGCAGGTTCAAGGCCAGGACACGGCCCAGGACCATCACTTACAAATCGCACGTCGTCCGCAGTGACGTCGTGGTGAACGCGGTAGCCGGTCCCACATTCCCTGCTCCCCTTGGCCTCGGGGAGGCCCTTGTGGGAGCCGCTGGTGTAGTAGCGGACGAAGCGGGTGCGCTTGACCAGCAGGTGCAGGATGAAGCACGTCAGCTCCATGCCGATGGAAATGAAGAAGAAGATGACCGTGTTCTCCTTCTCATCCGACAGCAGGAGCTTGGTGAAGATCCGGCTGAGGGAGATGATGACGCCAGCGGTGCCTGGCGGGACAACCGGAGTGGGACATCCCAAGGAACAACTTCCCAGAGAACATGACAACCCATCCGAGAGCAGGGACGTGATGCTGAGCAGGGCCCCAGAGCGGCTGGGATGGAGGCATGGACCCCAGGGTGGGCAGCATGAAGACTGCAGGGATGGGCTCTCCTTCACCCACCTCCAGCCCCGTTAACCCCTAACCGAGTCCCTGGGGCTGTTGGTGGCGCCCCCAGCCCGTGATGCCCCCCGAGGACGCGCGGGGGGACGCGCGGTACTCACTCTCGCCTGTCATCACCCCCTGCGTGTAGCGCTTGGGCAGCAGCCCGGTGTAGCCGTAGAAGCTGGATTGCTGCACTTCAGGAGAGACGCGTGCCAAGAGGAGGAAGAGGAGGATTATTGCCCCAGGTGACACCGTCCCTGCCCCCGAGACGGGCGCCCTGGGGCGATTTAGTGGTGCACGATGGAGCCAGGGCAGCTCAGAGGGCACAGAGCCACCCTGGGTGATGTTCATGGGGAACACTGTGGCCCAGACACCTTGCAGGGCCAGAGGAAGAGGAGGAATGAACGGGTCTCATGCCCCAAGAACCAAAAGGACCTCTCAACCCTCATGGACGCAGCACCAGAAGCAGAAGAGCCCAAAACGAATGGTCCCATGCCGAGAAGCTGTTGGCTTAGGCCTCATCCTCTTTGCCTCCCTGCATTGATGTTGAGGACAGACAGCAGCTCTGGGGCTTGGGGACCAGGTGGCAGGATGGGCAACCAACAATTTATCCTATAGACCTTTGGGATGGGGCCGTTTTCCCATCCTTATCGGAAGGGCTGTCCTTGTCCCCCGTCGGCCCCACCATACCTGTGCAGCCGAAGGCCACCACGCCCACGGCGATGAGGTTGATGGCGTACGCTTGCCGGTGGGAGAAGAGCTCCAGCCAGACGTCGCAGATGCTGACGAAGAGCAGGGGCCCCAGGGCCAGGACGTAGCCTGCGGCGGGGACACGGAGGCGGCCGCTGCAGGGGACGGCGGCGGCCACCACGGGCGCGCGGGGCCACCCACTCACCCACGGCGATGCGCGTGTGCAGGCTCAGCAGCTCCACCAGCGCGTTGTTGAGCAGCACGGCCACCAAGGCCACCAGGATGTAGGTGAGGCTCATGTCGAAGACGATGGAGGTCCCTGCGGAGGAGAGCAGGGCGCTGGCACGGCCACCCGGCAGTCCCCACACGTAGGGGACTTTCTATCACCAGGACAGCTCCACATGAAGAACTCATCCCAAATTGCCCACCCACTTCCCCAGGGAGCCCCTCATCCTTTTCCAGGACCCCCATCCATGTCCCCCCTCATTGTCATGGCACATGGGACACAGGCCCAGGACCCGCTGAGGGTGCGGACAAGACCCACCTGGGTATTTGTGATGCAGATAGTCCACATCGGTGATAAAGCTGTTGTAGGGCAGGAGAAACCCCACGCCGGCCAGCAGCATGGCGAAGTAAATGCCGTGGTAGCGGTCCTGGGGCTCGGGGTCCTCAGCAACCACCCCTGGAAGGGGAAGCAGAGGGAGCAGGTGCTGCATGTTCCATCATCATCATCATCTCCTAGCTCAGAGGAGGTAGATAATATCCCTAACAGCTGAACCTGGCATGCAGGAGGTGCTGAAGACCACGCAGAGGCACCAAGAGCCCAGCGTGAAGTGACGGCCAGTCCCTGTCCCACTGGAAAAGGACAAAGTTGCAGGACAGGAGGTGCTAGGGGCACAAGCCAAGCCCAGGCTGGAGGGACAAGCCACCAAACCCGCAATTTGCTGATAAACATCAGGACCTGCTGCTGCAGGATGTGGTGCGGGCTAAAATAGGCACGAATTGGGCCATTAGACAATTTTATGGTGTTTCAGTCCATTTGTGGCTATTAAAAGCAGCCCACGAAGTTCACGCACTGCTGGGAAGTGAAAACCAGCACCAGGTAGCTCAGGGCCTGTTGTCCTCCTAGGTGGGTCCCGTGGGGCCCAGCAGGACAGCCCTGTCCTTGGACCCTCCTCTGGGCATCTCCCACCCATCAGCCATCTCCCATCCCAACCATGGGGTGGTGAGTGGACACTGGGTTCCTCCGAGCCCTCGTCACCCCCATGGGTGCCCCGAGCCCTTACCCGGCTCCATGAAGGTGAGGACGCCCTTGGCCTGGCTCCCTTTCCCCTGCAGCTCTTCCTCCTCCAGCTGGTAGCTGTCGAAGCTGAAGCTCATCACCACGTTGCCCTCAGGTGTCCCCACAGGGCTGGCACCCTTGAAGCGCTCTGCTCCCACCGAGCCCATGGCGCTGGACCTGCCGAGGCAGCGGTGATGCCCATCAGGGCACTGGTGGGTGACATCTCTGGGGGTCCCCACGCAGGTGACGGGGTCTCTTTGCAGCCCGCCCTGCAGGGTTGTTATTTAGAGGGTGCTGCAAAGGACCCGGCCGGGGTGGCTTGGGGCTTCTCCCCATCAACACCCTGGTCACCCAGCCATGTCCCCATGCTGCACATGGCTTTGGGGTGCAATCAACAACCTCCAGCTCTTCAGGTTGGCATAAAAGCAGCTCCTCTCCTTCCTCCTCCTCCATCCCACTGGTGTCCCGCACAGGCCACGCACACACCAGCATTTCCTTTCCCCAATATCCTCCCCTCCAGGGGAGCAAAGCTGAGAAGAGAGGGGGCCCTGACAGGCTGAGCTTCACACCTCGTGCCAGGACAAAGTGGCACCCAAGCCCTGAGACGAGAGGAGGAGGAAGAACAACATTTACAGGCACAGGACAGGAGGCCAATGCTGCGAGCATCCCGCTTGGAGCAAGAGCGGAGGTTTCAGGCTGCAGCTGGAGCGCTGCTGGGGTGCAAGGCCAAGCAGGGTGGCGCGAGCCCGAGGCAGCGGTGTTAACCCACCGAGCTCCTCATTGCGGGAGGCTGTTGATGCCAAATGCTGGCACCATTTCCCAAAGCCATTAGATAAATCAGTGGGTGAAAACCGCTCAGAGAGGGGGGCTGAAGGGGACGAGCCGGCTGCCTCAAAGGGTCCTTCCTCGCTGCATCCTCAGCTCGCGTCACGTCACCTTCACCCTGTTTCTGTGCTCTTTTCTCAGCTGATGGCACTGGGAGGCTGAGCTCCTAGCAAGGATGCAGAAGGGGGGTGTGGGGGACATGTTCCTGCTTCCCCTCCCATAAAAGCTCCCAGAACACCCAGCAGTGCGAAGAGGCCCTGCCAGCAGCGCCCCAAACGCAGACCCTCCTTGGGGGCTGCCCGGCCCCAGGCCCCCCTGTACTACCGGCGCCAGGCGCTAGATGCCAGGCTGCCGCCGCCGCCAGCTGGGCCGGGGACCACCCATCTGGCCGGGAATAAAACCCGCTGCAAGCCAGCGGGTCCAGGCCGCCAAGGGAGGAAAAAATCAATTAAAGCCGCTTGTCTTCCCTCCCCGCGAGCCGCGGCGCTTGCGGGAGCGGGAAGGTTTCTGCGGAGCTTCCCTGGCTCCAGGGCACGTAGCTGGGGAAAAGCCGGTGCTCGGGCTGCAAACGCAGCTGCCCGTTGAGTCCCGAGCGCAGCCAACCCCGCACAGCCCCGTTCTGCTTTTTGTGTTTCCTCTCCTATCTATACATCCCGGAATATATTGATTTATTGCAGGGACTCGCTGCACCTGCGGAGCAGTGCGAATCCTGCACCAAGGGCTGCACCGGAGCCCGCGGTGCCCAAGGGCCCCGAATCCGGCCAGGAGCTCCCTGCGGCCAGGCCGGGAGCAGCTGGGCACCTGATGCTGCTGGAGCTGCAGAGCCGCGCGGGAAGCACCGCAGGGCTTGGCCACGGACACCCTGCCTGGGAACAAGCCTCTTATCGCAGCTCCGTATTTAGCGGGGCCCAAACTTCGCACCGAGAGCGGCAGCCGAGGGAGCCGGGAGCTGCTCCCGGAGCCTTTTCCCTCCGCATCCGATGGAGGAAGCGGCCGGAGCTGAGCGGGCTCCTCCATCGCGCCTGGGGATGGGGCTTTGCAGCCGCGACCCGGGGGATCCGGAGCCGACCCGGGGGACCCGGAGCCGACCCGGGGGATCGTCCCTTGGCGGCGGGAGGGCCCTGAGACCCCCCCCGTGGCCCCCAGCCCGCAGGAGACACCCGCATTCCGGCGGCAGCAGCAGCCACAAACACAGAACTTGCGACTGAAAAAGCGAATGGACCCAGAGCCTCCCAAACATGGAAGGGGAAGACACTTTCGGGAAGGAAGGCAGGCGGCTGGGGGGGGCACCCGATCCCGGGGAGATCGGGGGTGGGGGGAGAGCGGGGACGGATCCCGGGGTGACGGTGCCCGTAGCTCGGGGGGACCCTGCGCTGTCGCCCCCTCCCCGGGGCGGCGGGGCCGGCGGCTCCGCTCCTTTGTCCGCGGCGCACAACAAAGGCGGGGGGGGTGTGAGGGGGGGTCCCGGCCGCGCAGCCCCCACCCCGCGCGGCTCCCACCTCCGCTCCGCGCTCAGCGCCGCCGTCACGCGCGGAGCCGGCCCCGCGGGAGCCGCCCGGGACGCGGCAGAGGCGGAGAGACCCCCCCGCATCCCTCCTCCCCCCGCATCCCTCCTGCCTCCTCCCTCCGCTCCTCCTCCTCCTCCCGCCCGCCGCCTCCCGCAGCCCCCTTCGCCCTCCCGCTCCTTCACCATCCATAGGTGCAGCCCATAGGTACCATCCATGGGTACCATCCATAGGCACCAAGAGAGGCTCAGCTAAACCTCATCGCCCTGAGCTGCCCTGGCTTAGGGAGGACACCCCACGTAATTGCATTTCCTACCTTGGCTTTACTCCAGTTGCAGGGAGCCGGGAGCGTTCTGGTCCGTACAGGATGCTCTGGTACCAAGGGAGCCAACGGGACCAGCACGAGCTGTCCCCAACAGTGACAAACAGGTGCAAATGAGGGACCAAGGGGACCTTGTGAGAGGCCTGAAGCGTTTGCTGAGCTTCCCAGGTACCCTGGAATTCCCTGGAGCGAAGGGAGGATGGATGTGGGGGTGAAAAGCAGCAGGGAGGGGATGAGTTGGGGCTCCCCGCGAGCACCAGGAGCGGGGCTGAGTTACCGGCTCCGCATGGGCAGTAGCTGCCGTCGCGGCCCGGCGGGATGTGCCGCTGCCTCCCGCGCCCCAGGGAATTCCAGACAGGCAGGAGCGCCTCGGGAGCCTCCGCGCGGGAGCAGAGCCGGGCCAGCAGCTCCGGCAAGCACAGCCGAGGGGAGAGAGCAAAGGAGACAGGCGGAAATTTCCATCTTTCCTCCTTAAATGATATCAACCCAATTTGGCTCGGAGTGGGCAAGCCGCCTCACTTGTAGATGTGACCTTAAGGACCAAGGGAGCCGGCGGCCCTGGTTTATCAGCTCCCCTCATGGCTGAGCACGTGCAAAGCTCAACATATTAGTGCAAGCAGGGATTTCCCCCTCCTGAAGCCACAGAGGGTGACCAGGACGATGGGTATCGCAGGGTCCCCGTGCCAGGACAGGGCAGCTTCCCACAAGAGGGGAGAGCTGAGGGAGCCCAGGGTGCCCATGGGGACGACGAGGGTGTTTTTGGAGGGGGGATGATGCCAGGGGTCATTTAGGGATCCCCTAATCCGGCCTCTCCCTCCAAACTGCACCAGGCTCTTAAATATTTCACCCGGGCCTGAATAATTCAGGGCCGATGCAGCTGGCGGGGCTGCGAGCGCGGAGCCTCCCGGCCCTTCTGCTTGACCCACTTTAAAAGGCAGGATAAGGTGCGGGATGCAGCTCCACGTGCCCTGCGGCTCCGCGGGCATCCCAGGGGCTGGGAGCCCATCCTGGGGGCTCCGCACGGACCACGCTCCGGAGCTCCGGCCCACCAGGCTCCGCAGCTGATTCCCACTCATCCGCCACCATCAGGGAGCAGGGGAAAGGCCGGTCCCTGCTGTCCCCATCGCAGGGGGCACTGGGCACGACATCCCTTCCAGCCCCCGCTTTGTAGAGCCCCCCCCCGGGGCTGCTCCAGCCCATGCATCTCCCTATGGAAAACCGTCCTCCCCGGCCCATGCAAAAGGGCTCAGAGCAATGAAGGGGTGGCTCCGAATCCCAGATTTAAACCGTCCCCCGTGGGAAGAGAGGTTGAATTTGAGGCGAGTTCCTCACCTTTGGGCTCCCAGCCGCTTACAAGGACGAGGACAGACCCTTCCCAGCTGGACGCCGTGATCCCGAGTGCAGGAGGTTGTTCGGAGGCAGCCTCGGAGAGCTGCAGACACCCGCAGAGGACGCCCAGAGCCTCTACCCTCCCTTTCCCCAGTGGAACAGATTTGCATCCCTCCCTAATTAATCCAAGCTGCTAATTCGGTTTCTTGATTGCAACTTTGCATAATTGCTGCAGACGCTCCCGGCCCCGAGCAGCAGCCGCAGGGAAGGACGGGCCCGAGCTGGGGCTCTCGTCTACCCTGGGGGCTTCCAGAGGGCCCTGGCTGCCAAGAGCAGCTTTTCCCAAGGGCAGAGGCTCAGGAGCATCCTCCTCATCAGGGGGACGGAGCAGCAAAGCCAGCTCTGGTCACGGCCCAGGGAAATTCTCTGTTCCCTTTAGGATCGGGGCGGAACGCAGCCCTGCCGAGCTCATTGCTGACACCAGTTAGTCAGGCCCAGGCCTGGCGGAGCACTGGGACACAAAGCTGGGGAGCGTCCCAAGGAGCCATCAGTAGGTTTCAGAGTGAACGCTCCCCCAAAGGCGAGCAGGGTAGCTGCAGCACCCAGAGCCTGTGGGAAAACCTGGCTCCAAAAGCAAAAAGGAGGCGCCGGGAAGCGCGACCAAGACCCCGGCTGCAGCACTAACCTCCTTACTGGGGATTTGCATAAGCTGGGAGGGAAGAATGGGGCGAAAAGCGGCGACAATGGGAAAGGAAACGCATTAAAGTGCTTAGAGAGGGGGAGAAATCTGATAAAGGAATAAACCAGTTAAGGGAACTTATTACTCGGAGGCCAGTTATTCAAATCCCGACTTATAGAAAAATCCTCTTAAAGCGATCACCTGATTGCGCCTTCAATTCCTAATTGAATAAGAGGAGAATTACGGAGCTCTTCCGTAGCAGCGCGAGGCCGGGAGCGCGCATGGATACGCGGGAAGGGGCCGCACGGAGCAGTGCCGGCTGCACAGGGACCAGCTGGGAATGGCAGCGCTGCCAAGGGTGCCTCCCTGCTGCAAGTAAAAGGAGGAGCAAAGGAATAAATGGAAAATAAAGGAGGAGCAAACGAATAAATGGAAAATAAAGGAGGAGCAAAGGAATAAATGGAAAATAAAGGAGGAGCAAAGGAATAAATGGAAAATAAAGGAGGAGCAAAGGAATAAATGGAAAATAAAGGAGGAGCAAATGAATAAATGGATAGATAAATAAATGCCAAGTGTCACCTGGGTCTCCAGAGGAGCGGGAGAGCAGCGGGAGCAACGCAGGGCCGGGCTGGCTGCCGTAGGGAGCACAGGAGGGGGCAAAGCCAAGAGACCGGGGAGCTAAAAATATCCCCGGCAGCCGCTTTCTTCCCGGAGATCATTTTCCTTCACGGCTGTTTCATTTCATAAACAGCCTTATTTATCTCTCTTTACTCCACAATTTTTTTTTTTCCTCCTTCTGGTGTTGTTTAACCCAGCAGCACTGCTGTGCCCAGCCCCGGGCTGCAGGGCTCTTTTTAAAAGCAAGTAAAAATGGAAAATAAAATAAATAGAAATAAAAGGCTGCTGCACGCAGGGGCTGCTGCAGTCAGGGCCATGTGAACAGCCCATGGGGCATCTGCTACCGCACGCTCCGGCATCCGAGAACATCGGGAGAGGAAAAAGGAAGGGTTTTTTTCCTCCTCTCCCCTTTTTCTTACCTTTTTTCCTTCCTTAAAGAGAGATATTGTATGAATTTCCTGAGCCCCTCTGTGCTCGGGGATCCTGCAGGGTCAGGGAGCAGCAGAGACCCCAGGGGCTCCCGAGGAGGCCGCCCTGCTGCAGAAGCTGACTTGCATGTGCAAATAATTTCTAAAAATTGCCAGCTCTAAGGGCAAAAAGACCTAGTTGCAGCTCCCACTCTCTTGAAATGGAGATGAGCCTGGGCAGACATGAAAGGCTGTTCCCTGGGCGGAATGTTAACAAGGAGAGGGATCAAGTCGTGCGTCTCCACACGCCGTTATCGGGGTGTCTTGGGTGCAGAGGAGCCCCAGGGATACGGATCCGTTCCCTTCCCGCTGCTCATTCCAGCCCATCAGTGAGGCCCTGCCAGGACCACTCTAGAACAGAGTTAATAGTAAAAAAAAAGGGGGCCCATCCTCCCACCCACCTTATGGCTGCAATAACCTCTGGGGACTTCCTGATCTTGGACTCCTTTCTTACAACCTCACGTTAAGATAAATTCCCTGTTAAGAGCAAGCTGAGCCCAGGGAAAGCTGCTGGGACAGCAGGCAGGGACCTCAGCTTCTTGGCTCATGAGACCTGGGACTGGCAAGGTTGTGCAGGGAGCAAAACTAGACATGGATCCGAGAGTTTTTCCAAACGCACACAAGGAGCAAGGGAAAAAGCTCCTCGTATGAGTCCCTCCAGAATAGCTCTAAGGAAAAGGGGGAAAAATAATAATAAAAGGTTAATTTTATGGAATGTGGGCCGGAAGCAACTCACCTGATCCCATAGGACTAAGATTTATCACCGCTGGCAGTTCAGTTTGGGCTGCTCAGAGCACAGGTAGCGCTGCCCTTGTCCGCCCCATCTCCAGGCGGCAAACGAAAGGAGGAAGACGCAGGACCCTTATCACAACACAGGTTTAATTTCTGATGCAATTATAAAATTACAAACAGCAAAGGGGCCAGCAGTGAGTGCCAGACACTCGGCAAGGAGGAATGCCGGAGTTTTCCACCTAACAACCCGGGATTGGAAGCCAACATCCTACAAAACCCCAGCGGATCTGGGGACAAGTGGCTGCTCCCTGAGACCAAGACGACACATGCAAAGGTGGCACAGGGAGAGTCACCAACGGAGACACTGGAGCAAGCACAAGCGCACAGCTGTTTGCAACCAGAATAAAGACTTGTTGCCCATTGCTTTCAAGGCAGTGTAAAATGGAGTTTGCTAAATTAAGGTGTGTTAAAATGAGGGTGTGTTACAATTGGGAAGGGGGAATTGCCTGAATTCCTTTGGTCGCACAACTGGAATCTAGAGGGATTTACACACGCTCCAAGAGCTGCTTCGCTGTGAGCCTTTCCTGGGAAGGTCTGGGCTCCAGAAGAGCACGGATGTCACACTCTGCATCTCTGTCCCACATTAATGGGTTAAATGCAGGTGACAGCAGGGGGTTTTGGAGGAATAACTCGCCCAATCTCCACCGTACCTGATCCCTGTCCGTGCCTGGAGCAGCACCGGGCGGTTTGCACGACCCTACACACACGAGTGCGACACCCAAGAGCTCTGGCACCTTCCGAGGAAGGAAACCCTGCAGCCCTAGAGCCAGGTCGCTTCGGTGCCGAGACTGCTATGGGAGCAGAGAAAGCCCAGCACGAGTCCCAGAGCAAGGAACCCAGAGCAAGGAATGTCTTGCACAGGAGCTGCCTGCCTGGAGGGCTGCCAGGCTGTTCTCCCCTCCCCTGCTAGCAGGGATCAGTCAGGAATTTCCTTTGGGAGATGCTCATCACCACACTTGCATCCTTCTCCGATACTGAGGCAGATTCCACAGGCTTCCCCTCTCCCCAGAGGGACCAGCTGAAGAATCTCACTCATCCCAGGCCCGGGTGAGCACCGGGAAAGCAGCGGCTTTCAGGCACCCAGGGCCTGAGGAAAAAGCTATTACTGACCTCTGCATGCTTTGGATTTCCTTCCCCTCTGCCAAGGTTACCTGCCAGATTTGCATCTATAACTGCATTTTCTTGCGTCATTGTTTCCAAGAGGGCAGAGCACACAGCAGCTTTCTCCTCCTGAAAGCACGAGCAGGTTAAACGCACTGATGCCAGGACACAGTAGGTACCAGAACTACCTATTTATACTCTAAGAGAAGCTGCTCCTTCCCTGTGATTCACACTGGGAACAGATCCCACTGGAAGCTATGACCTGAGTTTACAAATCCAAGTTTATGAAGTCCCCCCTCCCAGCTTTGGTTTGTTGTCCATGTCTGCCCCCCAGCCCTGGCTCTACTGAATGCAAAAGCCATCGGGAAGTGCAGGAAGCATTCAGGGAGGGAGAGAGAAAGACAGACACTTACAGGGAAGAGCAGTGTCCTGAGGAAGGTCAGTCTAACAGGAGGTGGGCTGTGCAGCCGTTCCGGTACCGCCTTGGCTGATCCCAGGGAATCCAGGGCTGTCGGACACCGTGTCACCGCAGGGACAGCGGTTGTTGCTCCAGCCTGAGGTGAGGATGCAGCTGCAAATATCCTTGGTTTGGTTAAGGAAAAGAGGAAGGAGAAGGGAAAAAAAAAAAAGCCTTTGGGTCACTGGGGTAAATCCCATCCTTAAAGGCTTCCAACTTTGGTAGCCAACTGCCACAGGGCAGTTACTGAGGGCCTAACACGGGCCTAAGGCCATAAAGGGGAAGGTTATCAGTCTTATTTAATCTGATAAAGTTTATATCCACATGCAGCAACATCAGACAACACGACTTGCTGTCGCCACTTGAAACACACTGTCAACGAGGACCAGAGCTCCAGCCTGTCAGGTACATGCTGGTTACTAGTCCCCAAACCTTGCTACCTGTGCTCTCTCAAGAGACTTCCACCTATTACAACAGAAAGGAGACACTGTTACTCATTTCTGGCTTCCAGCAGCCCTGACCCTACCAGGGTGCAGCGATTCACCAGTCAGGACATGGGACAGCAGACAAGGACTGGAGCATATGGAAGACACTGGGATCTCCAAACCACGTGCGCAACACGAGCAGGTCCAAGCGTTACAAAGGGCTTAAATTCAACATGATAAATGATCTCAGTTTAAGCAGGAGTCAGTAAATACTCTAAAGGGCAATTTTTCCCTAGGTATCACAGCCTTTGTTGCAACTGAAGACTTGTAAAATGTACATATTTACAGACCTGCATTGCTTACTAGTGTTTACTGCTAACCTTATTTGCTGAATTCATGCCAAGCCCCCAAGTATGTTGTTATCAGGAACGTTACCAGCTTTAGGCTGGAACCAGCAGACATCTGGCAGCTCCCGGGTGGCTCAGTTTGCCAGCAAAGCTCAGTGGGTTTATATTTACTTCAAGGCTTACATTTTACTCCGCAGTTTTGAGCTCCACAGCAAAGCTGATAGCAGCACCCGTAGCGGAAAAGATTCCGGTCCTTGGAATTTAGTTGTCAGCCAGAGCTTAAAGTTGAGAGACTAAATGAGATTTGAGTTCAGGGGGTTGCTCCGAAAGCCCTGGGTTCTGGAGAGGATGCCACAAGTCACTCCAGCCACATATCTAGGATAGTCCAGTATCTCTTTGTAAAAGACCCGTGGAGGGAAAAGGAAACAACCTGCATTGCTGCACAAAAGGCAAAACCAGGATCCTTCTGGCAAAGGAAAGCAGCACCCAAGTGCTTTCCTAATCACTTGCTCACTACCTGTTACCCAAAACTTCAGAGAAGGCACATTACAACCCTAAAAACAGACCGCAGCACTGCTCGGCCTTGGACAGGCCTAGCCAGGTCAGGATGGTTAAGGATTCACTCCAAGGAGAGCATCAAAAAGGTACTCTGATAAAAGACAAAATTAAAAAGCAAGCAAAAAAACCATGAGCAAGGTCATCCAACAGAAGAGAATACAGAAATTAACCTTCCAAAATAATTTATATTTACATCAGTGTTTGGAAAAGAAAATCCTGCCCCTTCACTACTAGAGCAATACACTCAGCCCCAGGCTGAAGAGAAGCAGGAAAATGAAAGGCGAGTTATGTCTTGCAGACAAAAAACTCAGGGCTGTTAAAGAGCAGGGCTGACACACTCTGAAGGCTCTGCAGTGCAGCCTGACAGAAAGGATACTGCCCTTGCTTTGAATAAAGTATATAAAAAAAATTATTGCTACTCTGGCATGGACATAAAATGATCTGTAGAAGAAAAAGTGCTTGTCACTTCTTTAAAAATACCCACAAGTGTAAAAGCTACTGCCACCTATAGACACCTAAGGACTAAAGGTACAAGCAAGCACATCTCCAGCAATGCCTCCTTCATTCTTTTTTTCCCTTCATTCATTTTTCCCTGATTTTCCTTCCTTGCTCAGGCACTTCCTATACTCCATATCCTTGTGCAGGGAAGGACTTCCAGTTTTCCAACTCAGCAAACAGAACACTCCCACAAATACAACATTCAGAAGGAATTTTAATTAACAAAATGGTCCAGGAAAGGGGAGGAAAAACCCAAAAAACAGGCCATTGCGTTTGAAAGGCTGCATGTCAGTCACTAGGTATGCCTGCAAGCCCATGCACAGGAAACCATTTGGACCTTTGTCAGTGCAGAACTAGTCTCAACCTCCAGAACCACTTCATGACTCCTTCCTTATATAAGCTAAATAATATATACATATATATAAAAAAAATACAAACTTGAGTCTGTTATAAAGTGGCTTCTCTTTCTCTCTCCCTCTCCTATGCTTGCTTGGCACATGAATGCATGCAAAGCTAGTAGGCTCGGAGGGCTGCACAAACAGCAGGTTTTGGCAACAAAAAAAACCCCACAGCTAAAATAGATAAGCAAGATTAAAAGCCACTGAATTGAAAATCATATATTTTTTTCCAATGGTATAGAATTAGGACTACAGCTACGACTTTTAAAACTTAAGAGTCTGTCATCCTCTCTCCCAGCTCATGTCAAAGTTCATAGCAGCATAACACGAGATTCCTCAAGAAACATCAAGCCAGTGTTCTCTGCTTCAGGAGTGAGTTCACAGGTCAAAGTTTAGTCCGTCCGAAGAATCATGGGGGGATGTTCGCTGTCTTCATCCAATCTAAGTGAGTTGGTTTCATCTTCCAGGCAAGCTCCACCCACAGCACCCAGGTCATCTGTATAGGCTGCAAGGAAAAGAGGAAAGTTGTGGAGGGATCAGCAGCGCAAACTGAAGCTCGAATCCAAGACAGTGCTTAATTCAAGCTGAAGAACAGAAGTTCCAGCAGCTTCACTGCCACATTTGCCTTCATCACCAACCACAGCTCTCCAGGCCCAAAGCAGTTTATGACCAAATGTTAGAATCCACATGTGCAGAATGGGTGTTTTTGTTCTCCCACCCAGCTACAAGAGCTGCAGCCGCAGCAGGGACGCTGCACGTGCAGACTGCACCTCCTCTGCAGCTGAGGCTGTGACTCAAGTGGCAGCTCTGCATGCACAGGCTCCATTCCCTTGGGGAACTCCAGCAGCAAATCCTTCTCTGCTCAATTCAGGAATTCAGCGAATCATGGTTAGAGGTCCCCGTTTCCACAGAGGAACCATGTGTGGGAGTACTAACCACAGCCCTGTAAAATAAGGGCTGTAGCTCAGATGCTTCCCACCAGGTCTGGGTGCAGAACGTTTGTATGAAGCAATTGCTTTAGCTACCTCAGAGATGTCTGGCAAATATTGCAGATATTGCAGTAATGAGTCACAAACAAAGTTCTACCCAGGAAGCAGCAAAGAGCACTCATCCAGCTAGATGAGGGGACTATCCGAAATGCTCTTTCCCTGCTGCTCACCAATGCGCCACGTCACATCGACAGCTAGGAAAAGCTCAGCGTTGAGACAGAAGAGCTCAAGCAGCCTTCCAGAACGAAGCAATGCACAGAGGAGCTATCCACCCCACTTGCAGCCTTCTTACCATGCCTGGTGGGTGAGGAAGGCACGTATGTACCTTTAGTCACGGCAGCGCTGTACGTCTGTGCTACCAACGGGCGGTCGTGGGAGGCGGACTCCAAGATCTCGTTCGCCGGCTCCATGCTGCCGTCCAGCCTACGAGCAAGGAGAGGTTACCTGGAGAGGGGACCCACCTGAGCACAGGGCAGCTTTAGCCAAGAGCTGCACAGGAGCATCTTGCTGCACACGGGGAATTCATGCACATTTACAGGCTACATGGGAAACCTTGTCCCTTCAGGAAGGGCAGCCATCGCTTCCCATCTCCTGCTCTGTGTATCACACCAGTCCAGAGGACTCTCAGGAAAGGCATTTCTGTGACTGCAGTTCATATTTAACACTGAAGACACATCAACCAAGCATTTACTTCTGGCATGGTATCAGGATCTAAATCCTAACAGCCGGTGCTAGGGAAAAATGGTTCAGACTGCATGTTTAAGACAAAGAACCTAAAAACATGCAAGCAAAAAAAAAAAAGGATTCCAATCAGCACTATTAGATTGTCTCTTGAGTTCAGCCCACAACAGAAGTAGTTGTTTCACGTTACTAGGAAAATCCTCCTAATACCTTCAGGTTTTAGGTATGAGACCATTTTGGAGATTAAGAACTTGATAAAAGCTTCCCTCTAAACACATATCACTTAATCCACAAGTGAGAGAGCAGGTCAAGCCTTGAAGAGTTCACACAAAAGTTCTCAGAGACCCCTTCTTGACCAATATTACACAGCTGACAGGACTTGCAAACCTGAATCATCAGCATGACTAGCATGAGTTATTGGCTTTAATTCTATGATTGATCATAAATGTAATCCAATTGTTACCCTGTCTGAACCCTCCAGACCTTAGTAAATGGCCAAGGCCTTATTATTATTTCCCTGAACCACTCTGCAGTACTGCTACAAAATAAAAATACATTGTTTGGCTGGTCTTATATGAGCAACGGAATTTATTAAAGATACCTGTAGAGAGAGAATACAGGTAATTCCATAGGTTAGACTTCCCTCTGTAAAAATCAAAATAATCCCTCTCATCTCTGTCACCCTTCATGTATTGATGAAGTGGATAACGTGTCAGACGTTACAAATTCTTGTCAAAGTAACTCAAAATGCAAAGTAAGAGGAAATAGGAGCATGCGGCTAACAGTGACTGACTCTTCACTGCAATCAGACAGTGCAAGGTTTCTGCTGGTAGAGCCATGCTTAGTGTAGTAGATAATAAGAAGAAAGATGCAGGAAATTCTGAAATTGCTCATTCATGATAAAGGTCTGAAAAAATAGTTTAAAGAAATGAGCTGTTCTAAGTTAGACTTTGGCAGCAAGGAAATAAATTTAAGAAGGAACTGGATGACAGTGCTCAGCTCACGTGAACTTACTTGTGCTGCTTCATTAGTGTGCACTCTCCTCCCTCTTGGGGGTCTAGGTTATACATGTAGAGATACCCATCAGCAGCTCCCACCAATAAACGAGGGATCTTCTGAATTCTAGGAGGGAAGAGAGACAGAGGGAGAGAAAAGAGAAATGAGGAACACAGATTTTACATCAGCAAAAAGCCTGCTCCCTCTGCCCTGTGTGGTTTCAAGCCGTTATTTTCCACAGTCTTTCTTCTAGGTAAGGAATACACAGACAGAGCACCTAGGAGGGAACTCTGTGCAAAGGTTTAAAGCATAACCTCTTGGTGGGGCTAATGGGATGCCAGCAGAATCACTCAACTCAGCTTGGGGCTTTAGTAGCTGTGTCAAACGGGCTCTGCCTCTGGTGAAGGCAGAATAAATTTAGTATTCATTTAGATTACGATGTCTAAGGCATTAGCTGTTATTTTAGAGAAAAAACTGTGAAATTGCCTTCAAAGACCAGCAGAATTAACAGATTCTGCATTTTAGCAGCATAAGATGCTACATTACTGCACGTAACTCAGAAATAGGTGCCACGAAAGCCTATGGGTGTGTTCTCAAAGCTCTTCTTTTGAATCTAAGACATTATCATCTTTAAACAGAGCTGAGAAATAGCTCAGTGCACATTCAAAAGTGATGCTCCTCCCCAGACTGAGATTAGTGCTCTTACACACTCCTTAAGCTGGAAGAGTCCTCGAAAGGACCACAGATAAACCAATGCTCTGCACGTTACCCTCTTTGGTGGGGATGAGGTAGGTGCTACAGGGCCAGCATTTCCCTAGCTCAATGCTGGCAGCCCCACAGGTGGCAAGGGCAGTTTCCATCTCTTTACTCACGTAGCAAGTGCGCAGATGTTTTTGTGTCCGCAGAAGGGCAGGCGGACCGTAGCAAAGGCTCTGCCCTGGTTGAACATTTCTGTGACTTGAGAGGGCAGATAACTTGTGGAGGCCATGAGCACTTTTCCAAAGTAGCCCGTCCAGGTTGTAGGCTCTTCCTGAGGTCTAGAGCACAGGAAGAGGCAAGGGGGAGGGAGGAGAGAAGAGAGTAACTCTGGCTTCACGTTAAAGAGGAAGGTGTAAGCAGTTGGAAACCTTTATTTCTGAATATGTTAAGCTGTTATTTTCTCTTTAGAAATAATTAATAATAAATAACTTAAGTCATATTCCATTCATGCTAAGGACACATCTGTGTCTTGCAATACCCTCAGTCTGTTGAAGTTGAATGTTTAAGTTGATGCTTTTATTCATAAACCTACATTTCGTAAGGCTTATTATACACAAGCAAGATCCATTGGAGTACTGTACCTCATCAGCAAGCTTTTTATTCATCTGTTTGTCACTAAGCCATTGTCTACAAAACCTTTCAGAGAAATTATAAATAAGAATGCCTCTTCAAATCTTAAAAACACCTAACAATCTGTTGCCTTTTAAATTCTCTACAGGCAGCTGGAAGGTACTGCTGAGGCAATTCTTCCCATATCAATGCGTGAAGAAACAAAACCAACTGAAAACGTTTAAATGCCTCTCATTCATCTGCCAAGGACATCCCATTTCCCTTTGGTAGAAAATACCTTTTTTATTCACTAGAACAGTGTGCAACTCAGCAGTAGATTCATAATTGACTTGCTATGCCCTTAATTTTAAAGTGTTCAAAGAAGTCTTTACACACTTTGGCGAACACATCCTGTCAAGTAAAATCAATTTTAAAAGCCTTTCTTGAATAATCTAAAGCACCTTTGAAACCTACTTTTCTTTCACAGTCTCAAGTTTGAAGATATGCACTGTTTCCGTGTTGCTGGATGCAGACAGAAACATGCCATCCATGCTGAAAGCCAACGAACAGATGCTCACACACCTAAGGGAGGAGAAAAGGAAAGAATTAAACAGAAAACATCCCCAAAAGATCGAGACCTTAGAACTGACATTCAAACAGCGCATCAACTGGTTTAAGAAGAAAGGTACTGTTAAGTAGCTCAAGATGCTTAAGCAGTAACATTAATTCTGCACATTGCTAGGCACAAGGCTCCCTGCACGTTCACTGCTAAGGAGTTTATGATGTTCACATAAACTGCAGTGTGAAAGCTGGAAAGACCCTCGTATCAGAGGCCGCAGGTCACTCGCAATTAAGTCAGCTCTGTATAATTAAGCACTTTCTCAATCACCACTGCTTTGGAAATAAGTAGACACTTTCTACAGTAAGCCTTACTATTCACAGACACCGTCTTAGGTCACTTTAAGAGCAGGGTCCCCATTAATGGCTTTCAGCTCCGACATACATTGGATACGGGATCACTCACTGAGTTGGAATCCAGGTTTGTCTCTGCAGTGAATCCAAAAGAATCGCACAGTTGCTACTACCATAAGCTACAGTATCATGTGACAGTGAGTTCTAGCGATCACTAGACGAAATCTTGCTAGCAAGAGAATGAAAACATCAGCTGTAGTAATTCTTCTTCACACCCCCTTTTTTCCTCAGGATGCCAACTCAACTGTAGAACATTCTGAAGATCTACTGCAAGGAAGAAGCCTTAAATAGTTATTTGAACTTTACCTCTTCACTCCTCTTCGGAATTCAAAGAGTTTCTGCCCCTCCGGAATGGAAAATACTCTGATCACTGTCCCCTGTAGAGAGAGGGATAAAGTCACCCCAAAACTCTCAAAATGTTTTTCTATTCAAGTATCTGCACTGTGCATTAGCTCTAGTGAAGAGTGGACACAACCTAAAATCAGTTTTGCTATAAACTTACACAGTTGGATCTACACCACACAAACGAAGTGTTTAGGGAAGTTATTCCTAGAACGTAACTGAAGAGCAGACAAATGACGTGCGAGGGCTACGGAGGCACCTTACCTTTTCTGATGCAGTGGCAAGTTTAGTACCAGTTGCGTCAAATGCCAAAGCAGCCAAGGGACTGTCATGAGCTGGGATCATATTAGCAGCTCTCTGTAGGAGGGAATCAATAGAACAGAACATTAGTATAGCACAGATGAAGAACTACATGCTCGCAGCTTAATCCTCTATATACAAGATGATTTACAGCAAATATAGGCCTTATTTTGTGGGCAACAGTTCCAGTATTTGTCTCAGTAACTCATAAAATAACAGTATAAAAGTTATCACTGAAGTGCGAATAGCAACAGAAAAACTGAAAGTACAGTACAGAAAAAGGCTAAAGATAAAATTCAAGCACAAGTTATTGTATTTCTACTCCATCTATATGCCTAGCTCCACTCATCAAGTATTTACATCTTATAGGTGGACTTCACAGAAAGTTGCCAAAGAACTGAGATGCAAACTGTAGAGCAGGAGCTAACTTTAGCGTCTAGAAATTCTTATTATTACTAGGTTATTGCATCTTTAAAAGTGGAAGCAGTATTCAGAGCCCCGTACCAGATTGATGGTGTCAAAGACCTGTACTTCTCCAATAGTTGCACTCCCTGGGTAAGCCAGGTAGCAGTTGTCATTGTTTATCGATAATGCGCACAGTCCTAGAGGAATAAGAAAAACAGTTTTAAAAAAAAAGTACTAAAACTTACGGAGCAGAGCTTTTGATTCTCTATGATTGAACAGTGCAAATATTAATCGAAATCATCCTCACTGAGTATTAAGAGGAACAGGAAAAAGGACAAATGATCTTAGGGTCAGCCCGCAACACATCCAAGAGTTGACTATGAAGACTACTGAAATTTAGCAGCAAGTAAAAAGCACCATAAAAGAGAGTAAAAGCTACAATAACTGATTAAGAGGGAGAATTTCCCAAGCTCACCATGACTCTGGAAGCACTAATCTGACATTTGCTTTTAACGGTAACAAATTCAGGCAATATCTAGCTTTTAAGGACTTTACCTTTCTGTACTAACGATTTATTACATCCACTCTAGGAAACAAGGATACCGGGAAGATGCAGCTCAGGGGATGGGCAGAATGTGCCATTTGTTCCAAATAATCTCACTCAGACTCAATGGGCACTACAACACTTGTGTACTTGTCACTGTCATTTGAAAATAGAATTAACAATGCTTTAGATCCCTCTAGGAAACAAGGCACAGAGTTAGGTTAAGGTCTAACAAAACACTTACCTGCGGGATTTGGAGGCGTCTCCCTGATCGTGTGTAATACCTTCATGTCTCGTATGTTGTGTATATAAAGAGACTCTTCCAGACATACTATCAGCCTCTAGACAAGGGAAAAACGACGAAATTCTAATATAAAACCAGAGTTTATATGAAGTTCAGCCCCCTAAAAAAATCCTATCCACTTGATAAGAATAAAAGAGTTTGATAGAAGATATATATTTCTCAACAAGACTTCAGCTGTGCAACATTATACTGGCCAGTGCACTTGACTCCCCAACAATCTACTACATTGATTTAAATGAGAATGATTCGTATCAAGTCAGCAATAATGAAATCTCCATTTAAAGCTATTTCACTGTCATTCTACACCTGCCTTCGTGTAGAGACTTGTCACAAGAAATATTAATACCTGACTTTTTGTCATCTCAAATGTCTATACACTTTCCAAACTATAACTGGAAAAGGAAAAGCTTCAAATAATGACTCTGTCACCAAAGGCAAAGGAAAATTGGCAGAGAAAGTGCTAGAGCAGTGACCCACAATCCATTCCCCCTATTTTCACCCATTCAAAATTACTACTCACCTGTCTATTGAGTTTCACAGCCAAGATGGTGTTGGAGTAGCTGTAGTTGCAAATCTCAGTCCCCTTCTTAAAGTGACAAACTTTCAGCTTGCGTGGAGCTTTAAGGCTAACTATGGCCACCAGACTACTGGAGAAGAGTCTCTCCACAATGCACACATCCTCTGTGTCAGCTGGAGCAACACAATAAGGGAGAAAAAACAGATTTCAGGGAAGACGCGGCACATCAACTGAAAAAATATTGTCCAGAAAACAGATATCCTGGTGCAACAGGTCACCTAAGTGAAGGTGGGATGCAGGATTTTTTTTCCTTTTTAAGCAAAAAGAGATACACGAGGGATGCTGCTTTACAAGGACCTTTTTCAGATCTCTTGCAAGTTTAAGCTTCTGAATACACTGTCTACTTATCTTCTACTGATCCGAGAGAAAGCTGCAAAATGACACAAGATTTTGCAATTTGATGACTTGGTGTTTTATAACCTTCTGATTATCTCTTCATATATCCTGCCAAAAAAACCTGCACTTCCCCAGATTTCTGCAATGCAGGGCACAAGAGGATTTTTGACGACAAACAACAAAGCAGTTCTGTGCAGATTCATGAAGAAAGAAGAATTTGAAGAAGGTGGCAAACTCATCCGCTCTAAAGCTGCTTCAACCTCTCATTAGTAGGTATACATACAGTGTATATATATATATGTGTCTATATGCACACATACATTTTAAACACACACCTTTTAACTAATATTCCCTACAGAAGCTTTGAAAACGAAACTCTGAAGCACATCATGTATGCACAGCCATAAACACATATATTTTTTTCAAATGTTTTATCAAACACTGAAGAGAGGAGGAAGAGTCAGTATTCAGAGCTTGTCCAAAACTGCAGTAGGGAGTAGAGTCCAGCAACACAATGCTTTCACAGCCCCCAATTATAGACTGCTATGACACTAAGGTGGTAGGAGTTCAAGGACCATCATCAATTACTATTGATTACTATTAGTATCAATTAGTATTTTTTCCAGAGAGGCTTTGAAAACGCAGTTCTCATTTTTTTGCAACTGGGATAGCATGTTTTAGCAATAATTGTTTTCAAGTTGTTCTCCATTTTTCTTGGTGCCATAAATACCACATGAAAAGAGACACAGGACCGTATTCCCTGAAGCAGTCTAGTAACATAATCTATATTGTAGAAAGTTTAATGATATTTTATCAGATTTCCATCTTCTCCAGAGCCCTTTATAATCTCACAAGGGTCAGAAGACCAGTATGACGAGACCCAAAACACTGTCCAACTGCTCCCTGTTCCTGCAGGGGGAGGAGTTGCTTCCTTCCCCATGCAAGAAATGCCACAGCTGCTTTTTTTCCTTCCTCTCCTAGTGCTGGCAGGAGAACAGGTATTTTAGAGCAGAAACAGCAGCAAAATTTAGACGGAAAGAGTGTTGCACTGCACTGAGGCAAGTTAGCCAGCACAGAGGGCATGCAGGGAAGAGCACTGTTAAGAATTAAGCAGGCACAGAAGCCTGAAGAAAAGCTTTTAGAGAAGATTCTTAGAGAACTAAAAAAAATTTCCTCCATCTTGAAAGAAGAGTTATATTACAATGCAGACCACATGTTTAGAGAAAAGCTTTGCGAGGGGCTTTTAATCAAATTCACGTTAAAAATAAGGGATGTATCTCTATTCATTTGTTTTTCCATAAGAGGAACAAATGAGTGATAAAATCTATTCAGAGCTGCCAAGTCATGTATGCTTTCTATGAGAAGTCATCCAAGTAAAGTGCCTGGCTATACTGCACATCTTATGCCCAGCTGACCTGAATTAATCACATTTTTAGAAGCACTAATCAAGTCCTACAGTTATGTGGTTCATCTTTTTTCTTTTCTTTCCTATTTATTTGTATACGACTCTTTACGCCTCTACAAGAGAGAATTAACAACAACTTCTCATTGAAAGTACAGCCTAAACAAAGCAACAAAATGATTTAAGAATCAGCAAGGGGGCAACAAGCAAACACGTAACAAGATTACAGCTTTATAAACATAAGCAGGCAGCATCACAGACAAGGGCTGGTTAGAACCAGCTAGATAATGATCAGCTGTGCTTTTATTCAGTTTTAATCCAAGAACAAAGCAGGCTACAAGCATTCATAATGCCTTAGAGCATCCTCTGCTATAATACTTATTTCTAGAGGGGGATCAAGTGAGCAGGGAGGTGGATGATTTTTACAGAGTCACGGTGATGACAACAGACAGAGAAGCCTTCCTTTATTTCCAGTCAGGCTGTCAAACAAAAGGACAGCTACAACATGTTCCTGAGTTCACTTTAGACAGCAACGTAAGAACCTGCAGGTCAATCTTACTGAGGGGGAAAAAAAAAAGATTAATAAAAAACTTCTGAAAGAGCATTCATCTAAAATAACACGTAGCTTTTAGAACCACTTATCAACTAAACCGGGTTGAGGGAAAAGAGAAAGCCTCAGAAATTCCTAATGGGCCAGAGGTACCCAGCAGGCATGAAGTCCTCTACCTCCGTATCAAAACTATGGCATTAAACAGGCCTTGTTTTCAGCCCCAAGACTCAAAAATTATTTAACAAGTTTAACAATTCAACACAGAAAAAATAAATCTGTCTCAGATGTGCTGTAGCAACTGCATTTCCTACGAGAAGTCAGGATGACTTACACAGCTCAAGATACTCATTTTCTACTGAAAGTTATCTTGCATTCTGTGCTCTTCATTTACAGTCCTAATGCCCATAGAAGTTTTCCAATATGAAAAAGTTAATAAATAAAACCTAGAACAATTCCATCACAAGACTGGAATCAGCAGATTAAATTTAATCCCAGCTACTTGAACAGTCTGTCACAAAACTGAGCATGGCTCTTTAATCTGTACCTTATGTTTCAAGAACTACCTTAGAAAAAACAGCTCTGCAAAGTCTCTGTCTCTCTCAGTATGTTTATTCAGAATATCATATCACAGGAACCATTTTTGTTGAAGTTTTATGAGTCGGATGAGGCCAGATACCCTAAGTGCCCAGGATACTACAGAAGTCAAGTGTCTTTATTAACCAGTACAACCAGATCGTGACTCAATGGACAGGTGATGTAGCTGCAACACCTCAATGAGGCTGACTGCAGGTGCCTAGTTTGAACTTCCTAATTACTTCTCCATTGGCTGGATACCTATGGGACAGTCTGATTCTGTAACAGGGGATCTGACTCACACTGTTTTCAAAACGAGGATGCCACAAGGTCAGGTCACTTGGGGAACAGAGTCTAAAGACAACTCTTGTAGCATGATACAGTTGGACTCTGCTACAAACCCTGGCATTATAATCACTGGTACTACCCATTCACATTGAGTTTATAGGAAAGTGAAGATACTCACGCACAGAATTCATGGTTAACATCTCAAAAAAGAGAGGAGGAAAAAAAACTCCTGGAAAAACAGGGGATAACACTTCTTCCCTAAGCCTCCTCCCTCTCCATTTCACATCCTATTCAATTGTGATCAGTAATGGAAGAATTACAGGAAATCAGATTATTCCCCTTCTAGAAAGGAAAACTTTCAGCTATGATGATTAAAAACACTTTTCTATCAGCAAGAAGAATAAAAATTAAACAGAGTTAATAACCAAGGCGTCAGTTTTGCTAGTAAATGTGTGTTAGTGGTCGCCTGCCCCAAAAGTCAGGATAAAGATATAGAACACTCTCCTGAACCACTGCTTTTTGTGGTGTTCAGTTGCTAACCTGACTATGGGCAAGAAAAGTCACCAAAGCAAATACACCTTCTCACAGTTATTACCAGATTTCACAGCATGCCACCTAAGTTTGAATACATAACATGGATATGTGATTTTACCCTGCCAGCAAGCAACTGTACTGTATTTGTGTGATGAATTATCATAAACTTAAGGTTCCTCTTAAGGGACTCTCAAACAACCTGCGAAAAAATAAAACATGTCTTATTCTTCCTGAATTAGGTCAATTGAAGGAATAATTAAAAAAAAAAGTATATACTCACTGCATTCATAGATTTGCTCTAATTTGTCCACAGAAGAAAGAGAGAAGAATTTGTAGCCCGACTTACTGCCAACAGCAAGGGACCTGGAAAAGAAACAAGACAATGAGGAACAGAAGTAAAATCTACTATAAATTACCCTTGGACAAATCCCTACCCTTTTCAAAAACTCTTGTTGGGGTAACCTAGCAGAAACAGCAAACAACAACAAAAACAACAAAAATAAACAAGACATAGACAAGTCATCCCAAGTTGGAAACGCCAAAGAGATTCAGAGTTGCCCCAAAAGTGAAATGAATTCACAGCTTTAGTCAACCACCCAATTCTTACTGACAGGTTCTCCTTAGCATTCCATTTACAATGCAATTATATCATTAGCTATCATGAAAGATGACTTAAAAGAAACTCCCTTTAACCAGTGATTTGCTGAGGATTTCATGTTGCAACATTTCCCAACCATCCCAAAATAGTTTTCAAGTTAAGAAATAAAATGGAATTAAAAGAATGCCAGCTCTTTTTCCTCTAGCTTTATCTCATGACATTCATGAATCTCAAACATTCACGGCAAATCTTCTATCAAGGCTTTCTCTCAAAAGTACTGGTCTGATGTTAAACATTTCAGCATTAGTAGAACATTAAAAAACTCCCAACAAACCATTCTTTACTCTATCACTCAATTGTAACACTTAGTTCATGGATCATTTAATTGCTTTTGCTTTTCCAGTTTGAGACAGGAAAACCTTTAGGCTTGTCTTGCAGATTTTCTTGGTACATGAAAGCAGCAGAAGAGGGCACATAATTTATTACCTTTCCCCTGCTGAAGATCATTTTAAATTGCAGAAAAAGACGACAATGAAGAGAAGTGTAATACTACGCTTTTACTTCTTGTATTTGCCAGGAACATATAAATCCTTTGTAATTAGTTTCAATAAGCTGTATTTTTATGTGCTAAGCTATATACCAAGTCATGCAGTACAAGGCTCAAGGCAAATGCGGTCAGTGACCCTGCCACAGTGCCCTCCTGAACCCAGTAAGATGAGTCACTAGTTCAGATGCACTGACAACCAGTTCTGCAATCAGAACATAATGCAGATTCCTCCATTTCTTTCCATATTCACTCTCCTCGCTCCAGCAGGGAGCCTTCTGCAACTCGGAGGTTCTCCTAAGAGGAAGAGCTGTTACTAATGTGTCTCCCTGAAATTAAAATTTCAAGCTGGAAGGAGAACTGCTGTGCTTCTTCTAGAAATAAAGATTATAGTGTAGCATATCTGGCCCAGCTTGATTAAGAAATGGTGCTTAAGAAGATTTAAATGCTCAAATTAAAATATGCATCATCTAGGCAGGAAGAATTAGCCTCTCCAGAGTCAACAGCCCTGATACAGCAGAGCAGGCTTGAAGATGGAGGAGCAACTGTGAAAAACAAATTCCACTGCTACCCAAACACCCCAAAATATTTAATTTTGTTTAAGGCAAAATTGATAAGCTCAACATACTGTATGTAATGAGTTGCCAAGAACTAACTTATTCTCTGCAAGTTTTTCAACAACTCAAAATCCAAATGCTGTGAAATATGAATCCAATTTAGAAAAGAAAAAGGCATGAGCTAGCTCTTCTTAGATCATCTCCTGCTTCCCTCGAAAGAAAGCTGCCTGCAGAATGACATTAAAACTGTCACTTCAAAGGTAAACAAGCACTCCTCCGAGTTAAAAATAAGTAGAGTCACAAGGCTCCTTGCAATATAAACATTCTACAAAAGACACAGGACGGTTTCCTCACGGAGAATTCCACATTGCCTAGTAATACACTAACAAATAGCCAATTGCTGCACTGCATTTACAGCTTCAAATACACAATATTAATGTTTCACTCTTCTAGTGACAGAGTCCTTGGAAACAGAAAGGAATCCCCATTTTTTTTTTCCTACTGACTACTATACTTCATTTAACTGAGCTTTAAACAAGAAATTACTAAAGAAATTCCTTGTTTTGATAATAATCAGGCAGAGTAATAACCAAAAGGAGAAAGCTTCAAACTGCTCTCTCCGTCCACTGCAACCGATTAATTTTTCTTTCTGCATTAAGATGAGGAGGTAGTCAGAAAATGCCTTCTGGATAGGCACTGCTTCATGAGCTATATAAGCATCATTAAACTTGTTTCTGAATACAAGCATAACAGCAAAACTAACCAATTCTATTCAAAAATATCATTTTTGGTTCTCCAGCTTAAGTGCTCTCAAATTACTTGCTAGACAATTGTAAAGGGCTTTGTATATGTTGAAAGAGAATCCACAGGGCTAAGTTATACTGCTATAACCATAATGATCTAAATTTGTCATCTCCCCTCTGATATTACATTTAAGTCCTTAAAATACCTGACAATTTCAAATGACCAAAACCTACAGCACTGTCTGAGTATCTAGCTGAAATTACCTCTTCTCCTAAAAATGTGCAACCATACGGGGAGAAATAGGATCAATATTCCAATCAGTCACCACTCAAACTGACAGTGAGCAACAAGACAAAACTGAAGCGTAGCAGAAGTCCCTTTTACAGTGCACGTGTTATGCTTTATTACCACCAATTTTCAGATGCTGATGAGAGACTGAAATGGAAAATAAAATCAATGCCTAAAAACAATTACCATTTGTCTTTCTAACATTATGCTATATACATGTGGTTTTAGCCCTGTTAGGGGTAGCCTCTATTGCAAGCTCTTTATAGTGCAGATTTGGAGCTATTTCATCATCAGTTGCCTACTCAACACAAAATTACCACTATATTCATGATTTACGAATCTGTGTTTACTCACTTTTTTTTTTTTTCCTAAAGACAATACTGTGGGGTCTGATCCAAGACTACATAAATCTGGAGAGCAATTTTAAGAGAAGCCATCATAAATAAAGGTAACCGCATCAAGCAAATCATGTTTCGAGATATTTCACACACTCATTTCAAGATGCTGACATTGACTGTTAAGTGCACTCACCCAGAGTAAGAAATCACTCAATTCAATCTCTGTGGCTGTTTTAAAACAAGTTTTTTCAGATGAGGGAGAAACTGGTATGGGTTTTCTTTTGCTTCCTTAATATAAATACCAAAAGGAAGAAAACCAGTTTTTCCTTTCCATATCATAAAAGACTTTATTAATCAGAAAGATTCTAAGGGCAATCCTTTCAAAGATTAAAATCAATTGCATCTGCTGAATAGACATGATTTGAGAAGGGATTAATATTTTAACTGGCTAATTAAACCTGCTTTCATGAGGATACAGTCTCATTACACTAACGCTCTGTCCCATTTCAAAGCAACTTTCTAGAGAAAAAAAACAGTGAACAAAAGCTTATAAGGAACAAAGAAAGAAAAAGAGCAAAGCAATGAAATGCCTCAAGAACAGAAAAAAAAATATTTTAAAAGCTTCTTTGCTTTATTTTCCCCTCTCCTAAATGCACAGTGAAAACAGAGTCTGAGCATCTTGCAGACATGTCTGAAATACAAATATTCTTGACCTTCCTTTAGACAAGAGACAAATAGAAAAATTCTACTCTGTTTAACATTTACCACTACCACTCCAAAGAACTACAGATTTTCCACCATCTTGCATTAAAAAGAAATATATATGCATATATATAAACTCAAAAAAAATGGACAGAGAATCATGTTCCATACATAAATGAGAGCAGAGAATGAACAGGATGTTGTCAAAAGATGTATCAATGTTTTCATTAGAAGTTCAAATTCAAGGTTTTATGTTGTACATTAGTCAGGAGTCTTTTGAAAACTGCAGTGATTGTTCTGCTACCCAGTACTGTCACTTTTAATAAAGAACAGCAGCAACAAGAAAAAAAAACAGCAAATAAAACCTCTCTAGAAACTAAACTTCTGTAATTTCTCAAGTAGGATGCTTATTTTCTTAAACAGAACCTGTAGGCAGGCCGTTTAAGTCAACCAAGAGGAGTTTTCCAGTGGCATTTCTCTAGAAATATTTGTGTAGAATTTAAAGATTAAAAGTCCTACCTATTTAATATCTATAGATAAACTAAGCTCTTAACAGTATCTAACTTTCTAACCAAAGCATAATTCTATTATGAATGTAACCAGCAATCACAGTTACATTTATGAAAAAGTTAAATTCATCTCACGGAAACTCATATGAACTTTTAAACCCTCAATGTCAGTGCGTAACAGAACAGTTCTCCCAAACGCAGCACAAACTACTCTTGGCTTAAAATGGTACGTGTTACCGAAAGAAAACAGCTAAGGATTTGTAGCTGCTACTGTGTACTTGCACCAGGATCACCTACAAGCTTCAAATGCACAGTTTTCCAGGACACCTGAATTCTGATCAGTTACTTCACTTTTATTTACAGCCTCTTAGTCAGAAAACGCCAGTCATGCTCCATTGTGCAATGATTCACGTGGGAGAAGGGCTAGGGCCCAAACAAGCAAATTCTCATCTTCTGAAAATGGCCTTCTCTGTGTTTTACTTAATAAGAATGCAGTATATCAAAGGGAACCCACAAACCAACCGCTTCTGCTGCGTTATAGACAGGGTATTTTTCAAAGAGTGTCAGTCTCAGCCAGTAATCTAAAAGTCTAATGCAAATCAAACTTTGGACAACATGAAATAAAGAAGCAAGACAGTGTCTTGGAACAGTATCTATGTCATTGCAAGTTAATGCCAGCATTTACAGATGAACACTAAAAACTAGCAGGTCTGGAATAAAAAAAAAAAAGTAAAGAGGATACTGGCTTTTCTCCCAAAGAATTGCAATAACTGAGAAAACTTACAGTAATTTGTACATTGAGAGCATTTTTCCAACTATCAACAGATCAACTTCCCAAGACTATAAAACAGTAATTTATTACTAAATCTTTGTAAAGCTCAGAAAAGGTTAGGCAAGGCCTTTTTTTCCAGCAACAAGTTCCAGCTGTCCCTTCCACAAGGCTATTGGGACTGCTATCTAGGTAAGGACGATGCATTTGAACATGACTGGAGCTGGCACCTTGCTGAGGGCGAAGCTTTAAATGTAGCAGCAACACAACCATGTTGCTTATCTTTGTTTTGTCTGTCAGGAATCTTTCCAAAAGCAAACCTTAAACCACTATGTGAATTCTACTGATTAGGAGGATGCAGGTAGAGCTGGCTTCTCATATATTGACTGAAAAAAAACCAAGCATTTGTTCACCTTGTCTCAGAGATGAGAAAAAAAAAAAAAGATTCTATTTACTTCCAGTGTTGAAAATAAGCACACTTTTTGAGACTCATCATAGGAAAAGGTAATTCCTATCTAACAAGAGTTGCTCTCGCCTATTTTCACCTAGCAAACTGTGATTTTTCCAGACAGCTATAACATGCTAATAGACCCAGATGGCTGATTTTATTTCTCCATTCAAACAAGGAACTCAAACCACATGCAGGTGGAATAAAAAGTCAGAAAGCCTGTACTTCAAACAACTTTTATAACTCAAATACTCAGTTTAGGAACTAGAATACAACTTGTTTTTCTGGTCATAACACATGGGACAAGCGTTTTAGTAAGAAACTGCTCTCTAGGATGTCTGTAAGACTGTTTCACACTTCTTGAACAGCTTTCTTTCAAGATACTTTATCAGGAAGAAGAGACACTTAGTGCACATCATCCCCCATCCACTTCTCTCAATGGGAAATTACCTTTTACATATTCTTCTGATTTTGAGACAAAAAAAGGCACTTTTCTCATACAGCTTCCATAAGGGATAACTGAAAACCAGAAAGATGTCAGGAAGGCAAAAAAAAGACTTAGCAGTCCAAGATTTTGAATTACAAATACCATATAGAGGCTAGGGCTGGACTGCATAAAATATAGTTGCATCATCAGAAAAAAGTTTCCTGTCCGACATTTTCAGCGTGGTTGCTGTTTATTTTAAATCTCCCCACACAGTGAATTCAGAATGCTGAAAGCAAAATGAAGCTACAACTTTTTTTTTTTTTTAACATATTTATGAAATAAATGTGGGAAGTAGCATCAGTCTTTTTCCTTCTTTTCTCTTCAGTTTCAAGTCAGTTTTCAAGACTGCAACTACCTTGTTCAAAATAAATACACTCTTGTCTTGTGACTACTCTGCGATATTTAAATGTATTCAGTTTTCCACAACTGAAAACAGGTACTAGCTATAATCAAGCAGACAGTGCAAAGTTTTTAAATCATTAAGTTGGGCAGCACAGTTTAACTTCAAGAAGCTAGGTAATGGTTTTTACCAATGCCAACAGACAGAAGTGACAATTTTACAGTTATTATGACTTCTTTTATATATTAATAGATAAAACAGGATGGCATCCAAGCAGAGCATGGGCATGTAAGTTAATGACAGAGCGAGCTCTATACAACAGTCAATAAAAAGTGTGAAAAGCAGCTGCAAAAGTCTTTGGCTTCAATCAACAGAACAGACTGATAATGACTTACTTACAAATGCGTAGAAGAAATTTCTTTCAATGTCATATATCATAAGCTATTGACTTAAGAGTTTTTTTTTTTTAAATACTTTTTTCACTTATTTACTCCTGTCTCAAGTCTATTTAGCCCCACTTGTTCTTTCCACCCCGGAACCCCCATCATAACCTACAAAAAGCAAATACAGCTTTTCCTTCTGTGATGCAAGAGATGGGGCCTCTCTCCTCAATTTTAGCAGTCACCACAAGCAATCTTCTTGCCTTCACAATTTCCATACACTACAATATATGCTGAAAAGAAAGCCAAAGCTATTATGAGAACAAGTCGCTATTGCTTATATAAAGCTAACAAATAAGTTGTTAGAATCCCCCTCCCACCAAATCCACAAGTGGATTACACTCTGTGATCCCAGTCTGAGATCATTTCCTCTTACTCACTTCCTAAAGCAAAACTGTTCCTTCTTGCTCATGTATAAGTTCCTTTAGGTTATTCCCACCAGTCTCACCTCTTAAGTATTCAAAACAGTCCCATCTTCCATTAAGGATACTTGACCGATCCAGTTCTTACTACCAGCCCTTTTTAAATAGAAAATATTGCTCTACAATGCCCCATGTAAAAGTTAACATGCCCTAATCTAAATATCCTGCAGCAATTTGGTAATAGAGGCATGGCATGAACCAGCTCTTTCTAGAACTGAAACAAACTATGAAAGTAACTACAGTCTCAAGGGCTGCAATTCCCTCCATACAAGAGGACTCTTTGGAAAGAAACAAAGCCAAGAAGAAGGATATGTTCACAGAAATACCACTAAGCCTATGGCATACTGGTTCACCGCAGGCAGCAGGCAAAGCCAAAAGAAAGATTTAAACAAAGAAGAGAGCTGGAAGAAGCTAAAGACTAAGGCTCGGCAGCTCCAGAAAGAGCCGGGCCCTGGTATTACCTCAGCCTGCTCTAAAGGGACAGCCACTATCAGGAAACAACAGCAATCCCTCATCCCACTCCCAAGACAAGAGAGGGGGATATTTCACAGAGAAAAGGAAGGAGAAGCTCCCTGGGGAGGGGGGCACCATGCTGGGAGCTACAGCTCAGGGAACCATTAGCCCCAACACTCTGCTGGGCTCCCGCTGGGGGGCACCCTGGCTCCCCACCTAACCTGGAGGGTGTCACCACCACAGCCCATGGCACCTTCAGGGGTCCTGAGAGGAGAAGAAGGATGCCCTCTACAACAAGGGGGACCCCACCCCTCCTTCCCCCAGAGGGCCGAGCCCCCTCAGCTCCCGCCGTTAACCACCAAGCCCCCGAGCGAGCTCCCCCAAGCCGCCTCATCCCCCCCTTACGTGTTGTCCTGGTTGAAGTTGGCGAAGAGCAGCTGCCCGTTGCCGGCTTCGCCGCTCTGGCTGGCCAAGTTCATGGCGGCGCGGGCCTCGCCACCCCCGGCCGGCGGGGGCAGGCACACGGGGCAGGGGGACACCCGCAGCAGGCGGCTCGGCTTCGGCGCCGGTTTCAGCCCCGGCGGCTGCGGCTCCGGGCCCCGCCGCGCGGCCGCGGCCTCCTCATGCCCGCGCCTTGTTTACGCCCCGCGCAGCGGCGCGGCCCCCC